ATAAAGATATTGACACATTTTGTGAAATTGGAAAAGTGGACCTAAACTCATTATGGAATGAATACAGATACAGAGCATCTCATAATCCAAATATAGAATTTCATCATTATCTTAACGTACAAGTTAGAAATAAAATATACAATACAATTATTAATAAATTTTTCAAACTAGGTTTCTTATATAATATCCAAACTGAAATGGTTTCTATTCCATTAGAAATTATTTTACCTGATAATTATAAAGGTAAATTTTGTTATACTTTTGATAAAAATATCAACAACTTGTCATTATTTTTATAAATCGTAACAAATTTATAACATTTTATTTAGAAATCATTTTAAATAACTCAAACACTGACACTTCAATGATAACCCTATTTCTCGTACAAGAAGGTAATTTTTTAATTACTTACAGTAATTTTATCTGACCGTTTCAAATGTTTTAATTTTAATTATTTGTTTAGGATTTACTAGTTATGCTAATTTAAATGAGAACCATTTAAAATTAATTCTGCACAATGAAGGTACATATTTATTTGTAAAATTTATCATGGTTGATTCCTTAATTATTAATATTTAATGTAATACGTTAAATTAAAACATTTTTTATTTTTTGAATTGCGTTTTCTTCAATTTAGAACTCAGATACGTATCAACTTACTTAACAACGCCAATAGATAATCAGGAAGGTAAAATTAAATTATTTATAGTCAATTTTAATTACAACATATTTGTTGACTAACTGTTCTATCCATAACTTATTTTCAGAAAATCAAATGAATTATGAAACTGGGGAAACTTCACAACTAAATATAAATGATTTAAACGATAAACCTTTTTATACGTTCCTTTAAAGTTTATTTAAACTTAACTAAAAATGCTAAAATATATTAAATATTTTATGTGCTTCTATTAAGTTATAGTAATTATTTAAATATTATTGTGTACCGAAATTATCAATTCCTATATCCGTCATATCCAATTTACAAGTTAATTATTTTCACCTAGACAATCAATATTTCTCAAAATAATAATAATTTTGAACGATTTTTTTTTAGATTTTTTAGTTATTTATAATTATACATTTATTTGTTATCAGTTAATTTTAGGTTCATCACTTATAAGAGTATCAATTTTGTTTTTACAAATGGAAACATATTTTTAGTTTGATAAATTGATAGTGATCGTATTTTTTATTCATATTTATTCATTTGCTTGTTATTCACTTTAAAATTACAATTATTCGAAATTGTACACGTATATAAAATAAACGGGACTTTAAATACAGGTAGCTAATTGTAACTTATATGATTTACTACTTATACGTTAATTATTGCCAATTATAGCTTTATAATATATTAAATAAATATTATAATATCATAAATAAATTATGAAACTGGGGAAAATTCACAACAAAATATAAGTGATTTAAACGATAAACCTTTTTATAATTTTATTTGAAGTTGTTATATTATTACCTGTCTGCATCTTATAATCATCCAAACATTATTTCACTTTTAAATTTTTTTGTTCAACAAAATTATGTTATGTATTATACATATATCATGGTAATAGAAAATAAACTTTTAAAAGGCTACACTAAAAATGTTTAAATATATTAAATATTTTATGTGCTTCTATTAAGTTATAGTAATTATTTAAATATTATTGTGTACCGAAATTATCAATTCCTATATCCGTCATATCCAATTTACAAGTTAATTATTTTCACCAAGACAATCAATATTTTTCAATATAATAATAATTTTGAACGTTTTTTTTTTTTTAGATTTTTAGTTATTTATAATTTTACATTTATTTGTTATCAATTAATATTTAGGTTCATCACTTATAAGATTATCAATTTTGTTTTTACAAATGGAAACATATTTTTAGTTTGATAAATTAATAGTGATCGTATTTTTTATTCATATTTATTCATTTACTTGTTATTCACTTTAAAATTACAATTATTCGAAATTGAACACGTGTATAAAATAAACGGGACTTTAAATACAGGTAGCTAATTGTAACTTTTATGATTTACTACTTATGCGTTAATTATTGCGAATTATAGCTTTATAATATATTATAGAATATATGAAGCAGTTTTATNTATAATATATTATAGAATATATGAAGCAGTTTTATTTTCTTATCAAATTATTAGGTATACAATACTTTAATAGAAAATAAAATAATAAAAGTTGAAAGATTCTAGTTTATCAATTATTCGCATAAGAGTTTGTGTAATATATTTATAACCTTGTTCATACTTATTTTCGACTCTTCTATAGTAATGACGCATCCAAGTGTTAATACTAAATGTGTATTTTTTTATTTGTTCATTCAAAATGTGTAGATTTTTTATATTTCACGGCTTGACTTAAAAAATCATTGCTCGTAACATTATAACAAATATTATACAGTAAATAAAATAAATTTATACCAATAATACTATAGAATTATACCAATCACAAATGAAAAATTTCCTTCATAACTCGATGTGCCAGTTCAAAACTTCAATATCTAACAACCCAGCAAGGGGGTAACGGCACAGTGGTGACTTGGCATAGTTGGATCAATTATAATGATATCTGACAGTGATTAAAATCACTATTAAGAAAAAACGCTTCAGTGCAAATCTTTAGATAGTGTTTAATTTTAAAAAAATGATGGATTATTCCAAAAGCTACATGATCTGCTAGTTCCTTATTAATATCCTGACTAAGATAAAGTATATCAAATGAAAAAGGTATTATTAAAAAATATTATTTCTCATAAAAAAATTATGTTGATTTATCATTCGGTAGCCATTTACACCACGAATACGAAAGTCCAGAGGTCAAATTTTTTTTTTCTATTATAAAGTATATTACATTACGTTTAATATAAGATATATATAAAAGTTTCAGACCTTCAGAAACACCTTCAAATGTTAAATTGAAAAAGAAAATTTTTTGTGAAAAAGTTGTCATTTTAAATCTTTTCGTGTGGGCAGATAAAGGGTCAGATTTATAAAAAAAATATACCAAATGATAAATAAAGACATCAAGCATCTATAAAAAAAAATTTACTGATCCATACACTTTACAAAAAGTTATAGCATTATTAAGTTAATTTTATAAAAAAGAATTATTTTACAAAAATCGTAATTGTATTATTAACTTTGATGTCTATTTTCACCACAAACACAAGTCCAGAGGTCAATTTTTTTTTTTTTCATAATAAAGTACATTACATAAGCTTTAATTTAAGATCATAAGAAACGCTTCGATGCAAATCTATAGATAGTGTTTCATTTAGAGAAATTGATGGATTATTCCAAAAGCAATATCAACATTTATTTCTTTAATTATATCCTGTGATTAGTAGTTCTTTGATTTTAAAATATAATATATGAATACATACTAATTATAGTTTTTAAATTTAGTATGAAATTGTGAGGCCAGCTATGATGTATGGTTCATAGTGTTGGGCGGTTGATAAGAAAGTAGAGCAGAGAATAAGTGTAGCAGAGATGAGAATGCTTAGTTGAGTGACTGGAGTGAGTAGAGAAGATAGGATAAGAAACGAGCATATAAGAGGAAGTATAGGTGTTGCGTCAATCATGGATACACTTCATGGTAAAATTAATACCTTCTCAGCGTAGCATCGAAGCTAAAATTGAATATGTTAACATAACTTTTAGCTCAATTACAATTTTGAAATTGGCAATATTAAATAGAAAATTTTATGAGAATTAAAACAATGCTATTTTTAAGATTGATATATAATCAGAAAATTTTATAATTACTATTTACAAATTATTTATCAGAAAAACTCATTATTTCTTTGCATTTATATCGTAATAGAATACTTAAATAGAAATCATAGTAATCATTTTTAAGTAACTTTTGGTATTATAAAAATAAGGAATATATTATATTTAACCTATTTTTTTTAATCAAAGAAAGAAAGATGTATATAAATACATTCACTACTTCTCATGAAAAAATTGTATTGATACATACATAATAATTCGCATCGAAGCTAAAATGTATTCATACACATGTATATAAGGTTTTTTTTTCTCAGCAGTATTTTAAGCAATGTCTAGACTTAATATTTTAGTTATGTCTAACCTATTTTAAGTTTTATAATTATGAACGGTTAAATTTTATGTAAATATATTTACTGGGAAATTTCTATTCTTTGCATTAAATGATGTCGTTGAAAATTAAATGTATAATATTTTTTTGCAGAAAAATTAGATGTCCCATTTACTTCAAATTGATTTGAAAAAACCCAGCACATTGGGGTCACGGCACAATGAGGACGTGACATAGTTGGGTCAAGTATAATGATATCTTACAGTGATTAAAATCACTAACATAAAAAACGCTTCGATGTAAATCTGTAGATAGAGTTAATTTTTCAAATATATGACTTGTTGTTCGCCGATATCCAGTTCAAAACGCCCGGTACGATTGATATGTTGTTGGACGGAGATGTCTTTCCACATACTGTACGTCCAAAGGCGGAGATCATACACATGAAAGGTTTACCCTATGGGCTTGACACCTATCTAGGATGGGTATCAGTCAGTACAGTTTCGCTCACTGACACCTCGCCACAGCCATTAACGTCACTTGCCGTGACTCTTAGCCCACCTGTTAAATTATTAAAAAAAAAAAACAATTCTTATTAAGGTTTTTTTTATATTTCTCTTATTTAGCTAGTACAAAATGATCTAGTGTATTTTTCTTTATCGATTTGCTGAGTAATAATAGAAAATTAATCTTACTTTGGAATTTTGATTCATATAGAAGATATATAGCAATATTTCCTAGTTTTTGGCAATAAAACATTAAGAATTCAATAATAAAAAAAATCAATCTTAACATTTATGTGGAGTATGGTAAAATGGTACATTCATCGAAAATAACGCTTAGTTAAAAAGTAAAATTTGATTATTTTTCCAAGTTCATATAACACTTTACTTTATTCACATTACAAAATTTAAATCTGAAAGCAATATTTTTAAAGACAATTTTCTAAAGAGTAATAAAAATATATATGAATAAACAAAAAGAATATGTACAGTTTTTTTTTCAGAGCTATCAATAAATGCTGTATATTTGTCTTCAGGATATGGAATTTTAAGTGCATTGTATTGCTTTTCAAAATTTTCAACTAAACCAGCGATAGGAATAGCATTCTTGTATTTGGCCCATTCAATTTTAGATGCTTCTGAGGATAATGCAAACATTCTGCAAATTATTTCGTTCAATATTTAAAATATATATTAGTAATATAACTTTATATAATTTTTTTTTACTCATTTATCACATTATATTAATCTATAAAATTTTAATTTAAGAAATATTTAGCGGTAAACATTTAATTCGGTCAAAAATGATCTTTGAATGATCTTTACATACTTTCGGAGGTACTCATCAGATTTAGCTTTAAAAGCTAAATAAGCAGCTTTTTTAGCTTCAGGAACACGTTTACTAATAGCAATCCAATTAACAGACGACTGAGCAATTCTTCTAGCCATTTTAATTAATATAATAACTTGTATAAAGATGGATAACAAAAGCACACTTTGTTTGAATTTACAAATGCATTCAGATTCTTACAAAAATTAATGTTATCACGCAGCTGTAGGGATGGCAACGATATATCGATTTTTTATATCGATTAAAGATGTTCGATATTTATATTTAAATTTATATTTTTTGTTAGTTTGTCTAGCTAATAAAAAATTTAAAATGTTTATAAATACATTATACTTCAAGTTAAATGCAATAAAAAATAAAAGCTATTTTTAGTTCAGGTTACTCTAAATGATAAGTTCACTTTTTACGTCCAGTACTGAATATTATTATTACTTTTTTTATGAATAATAGAAATACAATAGTACTTATAATGCACTCGGATAAATCATAATTTAATACAGCTGAATATTCTTAATTCGTAGAATTCGACAATTTTTTAACTCTCTTACTACACGAGAAAAAACCAATACATTGTTATAGTCAAACACACGAGTCTAATATACTAGACATTTTTCTGATTATATTGATTTAACTCAAACGGTTTGTTCACATACTTTATAGATTTCACCAGTATTTCTTTTAGAGGTGTATACAATTCATTTTAGCTTCGATGCGAAGCTGAGAAGGTATTGGTTTTACTATAATGTGTTTTTTTTTTTTGTCTGTTACCACTTTTTCTCAGCTCTCACCGAACGGATTTCTTTCAACGATACGTCAAAAGATCACAAATTGTATCTAGTCGAAAACATTACCCTTCAAAATTGAAAAAATTTCCCTCGTTCCCCGTAAATGGAGAAAACCTCCAAAAAAATTACAAATTTAAAAATCGCTAATTTTCAAAATTTTTTCAATTTTTTTTTCTAAAAACTGCCGTAACTTTTTCAAAAATGAACATATCAATATAATTCTTTTTTTTATAGATGCTTGATGTCTTTACCTATTATTTGGTATATTTTTTTTGTAAATTTGACCTTTTTTCTGCCCACAGGGGGGATTTAAAATGACAACTTTTTCACAAAAAATTAACTTTTTCAACTTAACTTTTGAAAATGTTCCGAAAGGTCTGACTCTTTTATATATATCTTAAATTAAAGCTAATGTAATGTACTTTAATTTGAAAAAAAAGTTTTTGACCTCTGGACTTGTCTTCATGGTGAAAACGGCTACCGAATGCTATTTTCGTGTGAAAATTCTCGATTTTATTATTCATATTATATTTAACTTTATAATGCTATAACTTATTAAAAAGTTTATGGATCCACACAATTTTTTTATGAGAAATAATATTTTTTAATAAACCTTTTTTCATTCGACATACTTTATCTTAATCGAGATATTAAGGAACCAGCAGATCAAGTAGCTTTTGGAATAAAACACCAATTTTTTTAAAATTAAACACTATCTAAAGATTTGCATCGAAGCGTTTATTTTTGATAGTGATTTTAATCACTGTCAGATATCATTATACTTGATCCAACTATACCACGTCACAACTGTGCCGCGACCCCCCTGTGCTGGGTTTTTTAACATTTTTTATTTTTTAATATCATCAACTAATAAATATTAAGTAACAAGGTTTATTAAAAATTTTACAACAATCAAATTTACATATTATTTAATAGCATTAGTAAAGTATTTAAATAAAGTAGCTTTTAGTGTGAAATTGTTTTAAGGAAGGATTGATAGATACTAACAAAACTTATAATAAAAATAAATTTATTAAATTAGTTTCTTAACGCTAAAATTTTATAATGTTATTGTTGGATACACATCGATATGTTGTCGAGAAATTGTGTTATGATTATTAATAATATTGTTATGCTACACCGGTTGATGTCGGTCTTCTCTCTATGTCTGCGTTGTCGCCGTCATCTTAGCGTATTTTCAACTATAAGCTCAATGACGCTTGCGAGCCAGTAGTTTTTGTATTCGTTTTGTTGTAAAAGTAAAATATCACCTTTGCGATCGTCACACCATTGTGCTTTTAGTATATCGCCGTTGGGTCTATATATTTTCTGAGATACATCAAAATACTATTCACAACATATTATACACGTTGGTCAACTACTTGCATTTGATTTCAATTGATCCTTTCAATATACAACATTATCATCCACCGTTTCAACTAGCCGATAAGCATAATGCTTGTTCATCTTCTTTTTAAGACTTACTCACATTTATAATTTATTATTTGTTCATATCATCGCCATTGTGGCATTAGTATTAAGTTCCCTACCTATCCACATTGGTGTATATAAAATTTTATGATTCAAGTATTATACATTTAATAATAATATATTGTAAATTCATTCTACATTTATTCATACAGTCCACTCACCCTTTTCCTTTTACTCGACATAGTCAGACTTAAGACAAAACAAAACAACGATCGTTAATAGAACCCACGTGAATACTACCGGGTGCTGCGTTTATTCATTGGTCCTTCGAGCATTGCTATTTATTTGTCTTAATCATTAAAATATAATGTATTAGAGGCATTTTAAAGTAAATCTGGAAGAAAAGACTCTCATTGGAGTACTACTTTATGGGATAGTTCCCTTAAGTCGATTACCGAAATTCATAAATTCGCCATTAAGGTTAAGTCAGACATTAACCTTAAAGAACAGCTTGAAGTATGCGTTCGTCAATTAAGTGTTTATTGAAAAACAGTTTCGCGAACATCAAGAGACTATTGTAAGCGCGTTAATAGAACTCTATCGTGTCGAACTATTCGATAGTATCGTTTCGCCGATGACCGTTGAAATAGAACACATGTTTTATGATATTAGTGCTGCTGTATTACTAGTTTCAAAACGTGAACACCCCGCAACCCTTTGTTTCTGCGCCCAGCCATTCTCATACGTTATACCATAGTAAAATGAATTTTACTATGCGTTATACGACAACAAGTATGCGAATATGAACTTGAAATTTGATTAGGTAGTATCACCAGACTGGACTACTTTTGTGATGCATTTGAATCTATTGTGAACGTCGATTCCAATAAAATTAGGCAATTCCATTTCCTTCTTTCGTGTTTGTCCGGCTCCGCGCTCACTGTCATAAAATTTATACCAATTACGGAAGCCAATTATGATATAGCGTGGAACGCGCTTACTGATAGGTATGAAAACAAACAAGTGTTAGCAACGGCACACTTGGATAAAATCTTTGCATTTTGGCCTATAAATAGTGAATCACTTTCATCTTTGTAACTTTTTTTGAATGTGTTCAAAGAAAATATTGAGGCAATCAAAATTTTAAGTGTAGACAACCTGTCTGGTTTTTTACTTTTCATGTACTCAATAACACGATAAGACACTTATTTGAAAACAATATATCCCAATCGATTATTTCTACTATGGATGACTTGCTGAACTTTGTAACGTAAAATTTTGGAAAATCTTAAAGGTTCCAATCTAGCTGCGTCGCGTTCGGTACAGGAAAATTCGCAGTCGCCAAAAGATTTATTAATCACCGTCGCGTTTAACAATCTAGAATCAACTGTTAAAAATAAAATTCAGTGTTCTTATTGTCAAAATCGTGCACATTCCCTTTATCAGTGCTATACCTTTCAAAAAATTTCTATTCGGAAAAGGCGTGAACATGTTTCTGCGCACAAATTATGTTTTTCTGTCTCAAACCGAGTTATGTTGCATTTTCAAGCACTTAAAACTTGGTGTCTAACAGGTACGAGAAAAAACACCACACTATTTTGCACATGGATCAACCAGCGCCATCTAATTCGTCAAGTGTTGATCAAACAGGTGATACGTCACCGAAATTTGATTATATAATTAAAAGCTGATTAAATTTCACACAAAACTAAATTAATTACTAAGTGGAGAAATACGGTCGTCACCCTCAATAAGCAGAGTTGGTAGGGCGGTGTATATCATTGTAAGTGGGGATGGGTAGTGAGTGAGTGAGTCAACTCAATGAGTTGACTCTTTTAGGTGAACTGAACGAGCTGAATCAGTGTGCCATAGTACTGTGACTCAATGACTCAGTGTGGACNAACTGAACGAGCTGAATCAGTGTGCCATACTGAGAATTGAATTTAGTTTAGAACGTTTTATCAATAAATTCTGAATCATGTGAATTGTGATACATAGATTTAACATACAGAAGTAGAAGTTTATGGAGCAATATTTGGGTCATCAATCGTCTCTTCTATTACATGAGTCTTTGTGTCTAATAAATTTGAGGGAAAATTTAATGGATACTTAGATTTAATATGTCTAATTAAATTTGAAGTCGAAGAATGATTATTTTTTAATTTTATACGACAAAGTCCGCGCTTTACATGAATATTATTTGCTTCAAGTTGAAAAAATCCCAAATAACACTTGATTTACTCATTCTAAAATGAAATAAAATACCTTTGTAAATTAAATAAAGTGTTTCACAATTTTCGATTTTGTACACAAGATTTACTGTGATCACAGGAAACAGCGTTGACATAATAAGTGAAATTTTAAATAAATGAGACTAGATTATACATAATATGTCAGTTTTTAGAACAATATTCATTCAAGAATAGACCTGTCATTGCATGCAAAAAATTTTTGAAATATATGAAAGAAGAGACCTATTTTTCTCACTGCATGCACTAAACATTAAACATTGATAATACCTACATTGTATTTGTATACCTAATTTAACACATAAATAAATCTATGTGTTGATGTTAATAATAAAATAATAGTTTTTTTAGATTTTAAATTTACTCTTTATTTCAATAATAATTAACAAATTTAAATATAATTAGTAAAACTATTAAACAATTTAATAGAAAAATATTTTATAAATATCAAATAACCAAATAAATTACTTTTTGTGTAACTATTGTGGGTATGTATTGAGAATCTAAAATTTTAACAGAAGAAAAAAGGAATCAAACTATTGAATGATTAGAAGTTTTAACTTAAAATTAGCTCAACCATCTTATATGTAAAAATCAGGGTTTGAGGCCCATCATCTCATAAAATTATTAATTAGTAATTACCAACTACTTTTTCCATAATGCAAATACAATTTGAATTTGATTCTCATTTCTCTGGCGTTTTAATTTAATTATAATGTTTATATATAAACAAATAATGAATAAAAAATTATTGATAGCAATATTACATTTCATTTTACAATAGTAGTTAATATATAATAATTATTTACAGTGAGTAAAATGAATTATTATTGACATTTGTGTAAAACAATAGTTCATTGATATTTCATATTTAATATTAATCTAGCCAAGATAACTATTAAGGCGCATTTAGAAGGCACTCTACGAGTATGCCTTGCGAGTTGTAATTCGCGTTCCACAAACTTCTACAACTCACGAGTCAGAATCGCGCCTTCTCCTAAAGATTCGACGATTTGGGGGTTGGGATTTGGAGTTGACTGACTGAGTCAACTCATTTGAGTGAACTGATTCATATCAGTGAGTCAAAAATCCCATCTCTAAAATTATAAAACTATGTTAACTAATTTTATAATATAAAATTAGTTTACATTAGATAACATATTATGTTATCTAATGTTGTTTCAACTATACTTAATATTAATCTGAGTTTTGAATTTTAACTGATAAGTGACTATAGTGTCTGTTATTTACGTAATTCATGTCAATTGATTTACATGTATTATAATATAGACAATGCTAACGAAAAGCAGTTAATTGAAAATTGAATTTAAAATTAATATTAAACAACAAATTTAATAAAACACTTTACTAAATAAGAAATAGACCCCTTAAATTAAAATATGCACAACGCAACATATACATGTGACGTCATGCAGAGTTATGGTTGGTTGCATATTTTGCCCCTAGAACAATCATGCGCACTAATAGGATCGAGATTACTTCTTAACATTTTACTATGGTTGCAGTATGTTGACGATGTTCAATTAGATGAGTCTTTGTCGGGTAGTTGGCGCTCCTAGCGGTGTAAACTTTTCGGTTAGCGATAAGCAGAGTTATATCATAGGACAGATATATAATAATTGTTTTATTATATATCTGTGCGTGATATTGTAATGCATTCACATTAATATAAAAGTAATAATATAAATCAAAACACTTTTTAAAATGTAATATTACATTTTAATGAAATATTTTATGACTACAATACATTCATGCCGTGAAATATTTTCATGAAGAAAAGAGTTGTTATTACGGGTTTGGGTGCTATTTGCCCAGCCGGTGCTAGTAAAAGTTCTTCTTGGAAAAACGTTTTATTAGGGAAATCGTTTGTACAAAAATTAGATAGTAGTCTTTATAAAAATATTCCAACGAAAATAGCAGCAACACTAGATGGTATCAGTGTACCAGAGTTAATACCTAAACATAAAGTTCGTTCAATGGCACCATCAACCCGTCTTGCTTTATTGGCTACTCATGAAGCTGTCAATGACTCTAAATTATTTGAAAAAAATGTTGATAAAGAAAACATTGGTGTTAGTGTAGGAGTAGGCATGGTAGATTTAAAAGATGTTTGTCAAATGGCAGAAACCCTACAGTCCAGTTACAGTCGAGTAAGCCCTTATTTTGTACCACGCATACTGCTTAATATGGCAGCAGGGCAAATAAGTATGGAATATGGTATTCAGGGACCTAATCATGCGGTATCAACAGCCTGTGCAACAGGTGCTCATGCCATTGGTGATGGCTTCCGATTAATTCAACATGGTGAAGCTATAGCTATGATTTGTGGAGCTGCAGAATCATGTATAAGTCCTTTATCTATAGCCTCTTTTTGTAGATTACGAGCATTGTCTACTCAAAATCACACACCAGAATTAGCATCGAGACCTTTTGATAATAAAAGAGATGGTTTTGTAATTGGTGAAGGTTCTGCCATATTAATATTAGAAGAATTAGAACATGCCCTTAAAAGAAATGCTAAAATTTATGGAGAAATTATTGGTTATGGTATGTCTGGAGATGCAGCACACTTAACAGCACCATCTGAAAATGGTCAGGGTGCCTATTTAGCTATGAAAAGATCACTTAATGATGCAAAAATTGATGTATCTCAAGTCACATATATTAATGCCCATGCTACATCAACTCCAGTTGGTGATTCTATAGAATTAACATCAATAAACAGGCTATTTGGTGAACATAGTAAAAATGTATATGTATCTTCTACAAAAGGAACCCATGGTCATTTATTAGGATCTGCTGGAAATTTGGAAAGTGTTTTTACAATCCTGGCTTGTCATGAAGGTATTATACCACCAACAGCTAATTTAACAGATATTTGTGTAGAAGCTAAAGATTTAATTTGTATAACTCAAAATTCAGTTAAATGGAGAGAAACAAAAAGATATGCTTTAAAAAATGCATTTGGTTTTGGAGGCACTAATGCAAGTCTTTGTTTTACCAATTATGTAGCATAATGTTATTTAAAAAAGTTTAAATTTATTTTTCATTATATCAACTGTAGGGATCACAGAATGCTAATGCAGTTAGTGCTTTTTGATGACCTTCATATTCACGTTCTATATTGCCAGTTTCTATATTCCATAATCTTGCTACACCATCTGATGAAGCTAGAAATAAAAAAAAATATTTTTAATTTACCATTCATAATTAGATTTAAAAAATAACTATTAATAGAATTTAAAATATATGTAAAATAATTTTAAAAATTTCCTAAACAATGTTTATCATTGCAAATAATTGATGAAAAAGTTTTGAATTTTACCTACAAGTATATAATTAATTTGAAAAATTATGAATTGTCAAAATACCTGTTAACAAGTGTTCAGAATCATTACTGAACGCAGTATCCCAAACCCATCGTTGATGGTCATCTTTTAACTCTTGTTTCAATGAAAAGTCGCTTGTTTTCCATACACAAGCTGTTTGATCTGCTGATGTAGTTACTAATAAACTATAATAAATATAAATTATTCATTAAAAAACAATAATTAAAAAACAAGAAATTATACTTACGTTGAATTTGGGCTAAATTTACAATGGAGAGCATACTTTCTATGAGCTGTCATTTTATGCTCAGGACTTAATCTAGATCCATCTCCATTAAATTTCCAAAGATAACAATTTCCTTTGTTATTAACAGATGCTACATAATTTGCATTAGAGTCTACAGCTACACACTGTATAGAAGCATCAACCTCAGGTATCTTAAAAATAAGAAAATTGATATTATAACAACTCTTAAGATTATGCTATACATATTTTTTTATGACTTATCACTCTAACATGCTAATATTAAATCTATTTAATTAATAAATATCTAATCTTTAAAAGCATGCATAGAAATTGATAATTATAGGAGAATCATTGAATAAACAAAAAGTCTTTTTTTTATTGTTAAAAATAGTTTTTCATAAAATTAGCCAAATATTTTCAGAAAAACTATTTTACAGAATGATATATTCCTATTTAAGATGGAAGGAGCACAAATAAAATTTTGCAATTTACAAGCTAATATGAAAATATTTTTGAATTGATTATGAGCAAAAAATAACACTTTTATAATAATATTGCATGGCCAATAGAGGGGAAGTGTACCCCTATGCCCATTTTAAATATACCACAGTTACAGAACTATGTTGATTTAAAGAAAAACTAGCTGGTAAGTTGGCACTATAACATTATCTTATGATTCTATTAAATATTATAATAACAAAATTAATGGTCTTACAAGTTGTTCATTATGATCAGTCTTTAAGTCCCATATATGTAATAAACCAGATTGATCACTTAAAATAAGTTCACCTTGATTTGGATGTAGACATATACTTGTAATAGGAGCATTTGTTTGAAATATTCTTTGACATTGTAAATTTCTAGACCTAAATTCATTTTTTATAAATAACTGCAAATTTAAAATATTGAATAATAGAATTACCTTAAATCCCATACACGAGCACTGCAATCTTCCCCACATGTAAACATCCATTTACCATCTTCATGGAAGCCAACTCCTGTTATATTTTTAGATATACCTTCATAATTCAAAATTGGATTTGGATTACTTGAGTTTAAATCATACATTCGTATATGTTGAAAACCTTTAAAATATAAAATATTATTTTAAATATACAATTATTTATTTATTACTTTACCAGCAGCTGCTAGAAGTTGTCTATCAGGAGTTATTTCCAATGCATTTACTTGCTAAATAACTATAGTTAAGTTAACTACAGGCAATGCTATTACAAAACTTATATCTGATATTTTTAATGCAATAAAATTAGAAAAAATTTTAAGATTTCTTCACCAAATTATTAATTTTGATAAAATTACATTAACTAATAAACAAAGAAACATATTTATAAAATATTAATTTTATGAGTACTATTAATTATTTCAGAATTATATAAATTTTAAAAGTAACGCTCAACATTTTAAATGATTTTGTTACACTAATGACATAACCAATAATACTAAATTAAAAATATGATGATCTAAAGGATACAGAATCTAAATGAGTTAAACTTCTATTGCAAACTCCAGTATTAGCATGCCATAATTTTATTGTATGGTCATATCCACCAGTAGCTAATAGTACTTTTTCAGTTAGAGCACTGTCAACCATAATTATACTAGAAATTATAGTTTAAGATAATTATCAGTTACAAAATTAAATTATTGGCCATAGAAAAAAAATATTGACTGCAAAGAATATAGAACTTAATTTTAAAAATATTTACAAAAATTTTACATATAAGTTTAATAATATTTTACCAGTAATTCTCTCAGCAAATAAAGACTTGTTTTTCATTTAACTGCTTTGTGATATCATCATATTTTTTAAGTGATAAAAATTTTATCACCATCTCCGTTCCTCATTATTATCATAATAATTAAAACTGTATATAAAAATTTCAATTAAAAATATCTGTCATAATTCATTTTTAATATAGAAATAGATTAATTTAATAATTATGAACAAACAATTTTTTATAAAAGATGCGGTGACATCATTAGCCATTGTCATTGCAGATCATAAGCAAAATTCCGATGTATCCAATGTCACAAAAAGCTTAGACAAATTGAGATATGGTTTAAAATCTACATCAATAAAAAATCAAGTGATTTTCAATTTAATTATTCAAACAATAGTTTTTCCAATCTATAGATTATAAAGTTTTTTTTTGTCACAAATTCTTATTTTAAATTTTGTAGGATGACATACTTTGTGTACTTCAAGTTTGTCAAGAAATTGATTCATCAGAGTTTAATTTAGTGTCAAAATGTTCTAAAATACTAATTAAGATAATTCCAAAATTAGAATCATGTGACAAAACATGCATGGAAAATTTTATGTCTTGGTTATTATCATCTATTTTACAAGTGAATAATACAGAAATTTCTACTGAAAAATTTAATGATATTTTAAATTTATACACATGTACATTACAAAAGTATGGGCATCAAGGCTCTAGTAAAAACATTGATGTAAGATTTAATAGATAAATTACTTTATTTTAACTTATTGAATAGTTGATTCTTCTACTCAAAAAATATGATGTCTATTTTAGGTAATACCCCATATTATGACAATATTTTCTCCATTTTTAAATAAAATTAATATGAAAATAGAAGAACGATCAGATAATATAGATACTGAAATTGTATTTTTCAAATCTTTAAATGCTACTGTGAGCTTTTTAAATGATTTCAATCATGTAGAAAGTATTGGAATGTGTATTATAAAATTATTAGAACGATCAATTAGTAATAGTAACAATGCAAAGTTTCATGAACAAGAAGTAAAAATTCAATTTAATTTTTGCTGATTACTACAAAATTACAAAACTTACATTCAACAACATTTTATAGGTCTTAAAATATAATTTAAAAATATTACAAGAACTTATTGAATCATCAAAAATATGGACTATCAACAATTTTAATAAAATCTTACCTATTGTGTTATTATATTTACGTTATGGATTATTATCAGATTACTCTTTGATTCCAAGTAATTTGGAACCTTCTCCAATTGTTCAGTGGGAAACACCATCAAGATTAGATATATCCCAAACAGTATGTATATAAAATCTGATTTTACCTTAAAATCTAAATTAATTATGAAAATACTTGACTATAACCATCTTAAATAAATTTTTAAATAAACACAGACAAACTTAACAAATAAACGTCGACAGAAAAAAAAAAGAATAACAGAATCTAAAAATAAAGTACCTAAACTTGTAGCTTTTACTGTTGAGGAAGAGAATTTAATGAATATCAGAGATTCTGATTTTTCTGAGGATGAACCTATGACTAATTGTACAAATGGTTGTAATACATGGGACATACGTCTTCTAGCTGCACAGACTATGAAAAAGTTATTCACTGTAAATAAAAAACTACATCAATATTAATCTTAAAAATTGTTTTAAATTTTTAATTATATGTTATTTTATTGATAGATTGTTGAGAAAAAAACTGTATTAGGATATTTGTATACAATTATAGATGGCCCTTTTGATATCCAAAGTTGTTTACGATTGAATGTTGATAAATTTACAAGAGATCCATCATCAAAAGTACGAGCAACTGTTGTTACAGCTATTACATCAATATTCAATGGTTCAAAAATATTTTTTTCTCAGGCTCAATATAGGTAAATTAATAAACAAAAATTTTTGATCATCTTATAATGAATGTTATTTAATTTTAGAGAAAAAAAAGGTGCTTTTACAACATGGTCTGATACACTCGCTGAATATATTATTAATATACACAATACACTTATGAAAGCTTTTGAATTTGAAACCCATGGTGTTCGTTTAGTATTATTGCATTGTTTTTCTACTATGGTGATAAATACTCCTTACCCAAAGTTGTGCAAAAATCTACTTGGTTCTTTGTTAACTATCCTATTGATGTACACAAAGTGTGAACCATGCGGTATGTCAAATTTACGCACTTGATTCATAAATAATTGCAATAAATTGTTCATAAAAGTTTAAAACTATACATTTTTTTTTAGAAAACTAAATAATCAGTAAATAAATTTAAGAAAAAATCACTACCTAAATATTAGCTGATCCTAAATACTTGAAACTTTCCACCTCTATCATGTCCTCTCTTATTATCACTCATCTTCTGGAAAGTCAAAATAACCAAAACTGATTGGGTGGGTAAAGTGGAGAGAAGCGTATGGTGTGTTATGCAATAAGAGAATTACAATTAGATTGAAAGGTTAGTTCTATAAAACTATAGTGAGACAAGTTATAATATATAATTCAAAGTGTTACAAGACAATAGGGAAGAGATGGAGTGTAGTAGAGATGAGATAGCTTAGATGAGTGAGTGGAGTGACTAGAGAAGATAAGATAAAAAACGAACATATAAGAGGGAGTATAGGTGTAGCGTCAATCATAGATAAGATGAGAGAAAATAAACTTAGATGGTATGGTCGTATTATGAGAAGAGAGGAAACGGAAGCTGTAAGAACAGTTATAGAAATTAATCTTGAAGGAAGAAGAGGTAGAACCTCTTTTTGGAAGACGAAGAAAAAGATGGAGGAATGTTATTGAATGCGATAGAACGACAGCGGATGTGAGCGTTGAAGATGTGAGAGATTGTGTCAAGTGGAAGTTTAGGTTAAGGGTGGCGTCCCCAAGTAGTTATGAAAAAGGAGAGGAAAAGAAGAAGAATATATTTGTAATAATACAAACCTAAAATATTAAAAAAATGTGCCATGTCAGTAACTAAAATTTTTATTATATATTGATGTATTAAAAAATTAGTATATTTTTTTATTATTTAAAAACAATTAAAAAATTATTTAAAAGACTACCCAAATACATGTATATGATTTTTACACAGTAATAGGACTAATTTAATGAATTTTTTTTTTATTAATGTCAAGAATTATTAAACATTTTTTTTTTAATTTAGTCTATTTTATACAAATGTATACAGAGTCTCTCAGACATAACTGACAACACTATTAACTTTTGATAAAACTATCATTATATTAAAATAATATATTATTTTTCATTATTCATCACTAATAAAAAAAAAAAAATTATACTATTTTTTATTTTCAAAATTTCAAAATTGTAATTTTTAACCCTTTTCTTTACTAATAATTTTGATGAATCGATATCAATTTTAGTGCAATAATTGTACTAAAATTATAATTAAAATAAGTAACTAGTACACATTGAGTTACATGCATTTTAATTCAAAGAATACTTGTCCTAAAATTGTTATTGATCCATCAAAATTATTTAAAAGAAAAAGGCTAAAAATTACTATTTAAAATTCTTGAAAATAATAATAGAATATATAATTTAACATAGTCTAAAAAGGCAATAAGTATTTAAAAAAAAAACAAAATTTCAACATATTGATACTTTTATCAAAAGTTAATATCGTTTCATTAATTAAGTCTGAGAAACTTTGTATACATTTTTATAAAATAGACTAAATTTAAAAATTTAATTTCTTGACATTAGTAAAAAAATATCATTAAATTAGTCTTATGACTGTGTAAAAATCACAAAATAACAATGAATTAAATGTTAATTTCAATGTTACAATTTAGAAAACTATTTAAGAATTGGTGTACTTCGGTGTTTTTCATCTATATTTAATTGTGATCTTCCGGATATTGAAAGAGATTCATTAAAAAAAATTAGATGTGACATAGTGAATTTGTGTTTATATTTATTCAAAGTAAGTTTTAAATAATTTCTAAAAATAAAATTTATGCAATAAGCTTTTGGGAAACAGTCTCCATTAGTTTTATATACAAGTTGTCCAACCTTATTTTGACAAAACTTTTGAATTACTAAATACTTTGTGTTGTTATTTTTTTTTTTTTATAATTTTTATTATTTACACTGAATGAGTATATATTACAAGTGGGTACTAGTTTATATTTGTAATGCATTCATAACCTGCGTTACATATATAGTTCGAAATTATAAAAATTATTTTTAAAAAATGTATCACACAGTATTTGCTGGATAAAAAAGGTATAATAGGTGTCATAACATGTTGGAAGATTTTGTATATTTTACAAATTTAATTCTACAGTTTTCTTAAACATTAGTTTTTTTTAATGTAGGAAACTAAACTTTATCTTGATTCTGATCAAGACAATATTCAAATAATTTTGAGGCGCCAATGTTGGCAAATGTTAACTAGTTATTGTAACCTCTATGATGGTTTAATTGAAAACAGAATGTTGATAAATATTGCTGTAGAAGATTTAAAATATACTAAACAAAATTTGTTGCGTAAAAATATTATACTCTGTTTAAAGCAAATGTCTTCTGTATCTGAAGGTCAAAAATCTCATAAGTATTTTCATTACGTTTATATGCAAAAATAAAACATACTTAATATTTATAATAAATTATTTTTATTGTATAGGAAAAGGATATCATACAGCTAAATTAGAAAAATGGAAATTGATTTTCAAGAAAGTTGTACCACAACTATTAGAAGAACAAGACACATTTATTCTGTCTGTTCTAATTGAAAGTTTATCTACCATAGGCTCAGAAGTATTCTCAAATTTAGAAGTATGTGTTAAATATATTATTTAAAATATTGTTTTTTATAACTTATTTCTGTAATATTAAATTTTTCAATAATTTATAACAGGATGAATTAGTTAATCCATTTTGTAATAGTCTCCATAGTTATGCAAATTCCTTGGATCAAAATATTCAATCATCTGCAATTGCAACTTTAGGCATTTTTATAAAGTATGAAAAANGTTATGCAAATTCCTTGGATCAAAATATTCAATCATCTGCAATTGCAACTTTAGGCATTTTTATAAAGTATGAAAAATTGTTAAATGTAAGCTTCTAAATTGATTGAATAAAAACATGTATTTATTGACTGAAAATTATTTACACTATTTAGAGGCCCGAATACATTGAGGACACAATTGATATTTTACTTAATGTGTGTTTAACAAATAAAGTAAATTCTATTCAAGAAAAACTTGCATGGACTTTTAACTGTATAGCTGAAGTCTTGGTTGGTAATTGGTAAGTATTATAATTATCAGTATAAACTTTTGTTTCTTTTCATTTTGTTTTTAAATTAAAATTAATAATAATCAAAACAAATATTAATAAATAAAGTTTTTTAATCTTACAGGAAGTTATACAAAATTGAAAACAACAAATTATTTTCATTGGTAGAAGTTACTATCTCAACTTTGGATCGTAAACCGGTAATAACATATTCAGTTTCATTTCATTAAGCATGAAATATTTATTTTAATATATAACTCTTGGTTATAGATATTAATTTAAGTGTTCTATTTATAATCTCAATACTATAATTAATCGGTATAAAACATTCCTATCTAAAATATTTAGGCTGGTTAATTTATAATTATTAATCAATTTACTATTATTAAATTATATAGTTCTTAAATCTTCTTTAATCCAAGCATTCTTGTTATTTTAAATGATTACTAGAAATACATTAGTTATATAAAATCCAAAACGACTGCAGATCTACAATTTACCCAAATTTATTTCATTTCTTCATATTTGGATTACTAAATTGAAAAATGACCAAGTCCAAAAATGTAAATTTAAAAGAATATTAAAAAGACTGTATTAGACTACTATTATAAAATAAAAATAATTAAAGAATATAAATAGATAATTGTATTAGGTTAAAACTAAGGCGAGATTAAAAAGAGTATTTAACAATTTTTTTCTATTTTCAGTATTGTCTCAAAAATGTTTAAACATGATATGTTAATACAATTAATTGCATATATTAAAACTAAAAATTCTAAATTTAAATTTTATTTTATTTTAGTGTAGAGCATGTGGCACTAGAGCTTTGGGTCTTTTATTGTCATTATTTGACCAAGTTGATATCATTGAAACACAAGCTGGATCTTTATTTCAGCATTCCATAGAAGTTTTAATTAATATAGCTAACAGTAATGACAGTATGAAAGTAAGTTTTTATTAATTGAAAATTTGTATTAAACTAAAAATTCAAATATGTATTTATCTAATCTATGTCATTTGTAGAATCGATGGAACAGCTGTAATTCTTTGGGAGTAGTATACCAAACCAATTATTTGTACAAATTACCAATTTTATTTAAAGTATGCATGTATTTTTATCAATTTTTTAATTCTATTTTAGACAAATATATCCATAAAGTTCTATTTGCTTCTGTACACCCAAAGAAGTTTGTTTTTCTTAAGAAATTACTTCAATGAAAATAAGTGAATAATTCAACATAAAAACCATAGATATATGTGATTTATAAATTTTATAATTTCTTTACTAATCAAGACCTGGAATATTATTATTTTATTTGTGTAAACGATACAATCATAGTCACAAATAATCTTTTAAATTTGGAGGTGATGAAGTTCCAAAAACCAAATATATTTTTTCTTACTTCGCTTGAAATTGCATACTCAACCTTCTTTTTATTTATTTATAAATAAACAATTATGTATAACATTATATAGGTAATTTTTGTATCATCACACACTCACTCAATTACTTACAAAATAAAAATAATTTAAACATTTTTTCGTTACCTTTAGTTACATATTATTCTTAAATTATTAGATATGTAATACTTTTTAAGTTCATCATCTCTTAGCCTTGTAAGAATGTAAACTTCATTTTTTTAAATGGAAACACTTATTTTGAGTTCAATAAAATGTTATATTAATTAATAAAATGGAAATGAGTTTTTAATTTAATAGTAAATGGCATTTAAATTTTTAATGACTTTATTGTATTAGATATAAAATTTTAAAGTTTTAAAATTTTGAGTTAATATACTTGCATAATACACGAGGGATTACAAATACAGGTAACTAATTGGTTTTTTATGACATCGCAATGAGTCACGGAGTATATTGTCAATTATAACTATCAATAGATATGCTTTCTATAATGCTAATTGGTGTATTTATAAACTCTCAACAATGTGCCTTAATTTTAAAAAAAATGTTTAAATTATTTTTATTTTATAAGTAATTGAGTGGTTTATGATAAAAACAATCACTCTGTATTTGTACAGAGTGATTGTATATATTTTTTTCTTACTACATAATTGTTGAAACCAAATCATATTACTATGTTTAAAGTAAAATACATATCCTAACTCAGTGGCATTGTACACATATAATATTAAAACACAAGATTACAAAAATACAGTTATGATTTATACTATAAGGAATTATTTTATTTTTCATTTAAAATTTTGATAAAAAGATGATAAAATCTGCTTGAGGGTGCTAATTTTATTCTAGGGGGTACTAAATAGCCAAAGAACCCCCTTATTTACGCCTATAGATACAAAATTTAAAGTTATAGCACTTAATAATTTGAAATTTCCATTTTCTGAAAAAGTTTTAAAAATATCTTTACAAGTAAAAGAAATTGAATAACTCCACTTAAATTTACTTAAATGGTAGCATGTAAGCTACCGTTGCTCAATTTAATGACATTTCTCAACTTAATACTTGAATTTCTATTCCATGAAATTTATTCAGATTATCTACATAAAATTGATGCAGACAATTAAAAAAAATTATCTTATTAATTGAAGCAAACAAATATCTAACTTAAAAAGATGATAATAAATATCTAATTTAAAATTTATTTTTAGAATAATATATTCAACACATTGTCCATCTTATTAATAAATTGTAGCAATTTTAAAGTAAGACAACTTGCATGTTCATCTTTGACATTTTCTCAACGAGAACTTTATGGTACAAATTTTATAAAAATGTGGCATAGAATTTTTGATGCTTTTGAAAATGCACAAAATTTACCACATGTTTGTGAATACAAACATAAACAAAAACTAACGAATCAGGTAAATTAGTAAAATGACAAATGTAATTTTAAATACATCATGATGTTTTTTTAGCTTTGTGAAACATTTTGCAATCTCTGTCGATTATTAGAACCAATGGACATTGGCAATTTAACAGATTTGTTAAATTCTCGTTTATATCTGGTACAAGAGGAAATGAACAAGTATTGCAATTCATTAGAGATTCCCAATTTTTCAGAAAAACTAGTAGTTACTCATAATAACTTACAATATTTATTAAAATGTACACAATTAAATTATAAACAAAAAGAAGCTGTGCAAAATTTATTAAATATATTTTATAATCATTAAACAGTTTTTAAATTTTTTTTTTCAATTAAGGCTTGAAATATTTACATTATATCAACCTACATGTACAAAATTATTTTTTATCATAACCACCAATTATTTGATCATAAATTAAAAATAATATTGATCATTTTTCTGTTTTCTTTTAGTGCCATACTTTTCTTAATTTAACAATCATATATATATAAGATTGTATTTATATATATCATCAATTTTTTTACACATCATTTATAACTTATTAGTGTTAACATAATTTTTTCAAATGGCATCGTACACGATTATCTAGCTTATTTATTAGATAAAGATCTAATAATTTTTAAAATGACTTTGAATAATATCTTTGGAAACAGTATTTTAGAAGTCATTAACAATTTAAAGTGATGACTATAGGTGAATCGTGTGTGTTGATATTTTTATCACTAGACATTTCTTGGACCCACTTTTCCTACCTAGGTGTCCTGAAAATATGTTATTTTATAGTTATTTATTATTTATAAATTATATTAATGTTTTTAGTTAATTTTTATATAATATTTTAACTATTAGAAAGTGTTGTTACATAAATTCATCATCGATTCGATGGCATCAAGTATTTTCTAATTGTTAATGACAGTTTGGTCGTTAAATAGTGTTTTATCGGTAAATATTACATCATAGTTATTATTTTTACTCTTCCCAAAGAAACTTGTCTGCGTTGTCAAAGTGGACTTAAAACACCCAGTTTATCACATAGGTATAAAAATTATAATAACATTGAATCACCTATGCTGTACTTCTTTTTTCTTTGTATAATAAATAATAAAATACTAGGTAATATTATTAAAATATACTTATTTTTATTATAATTTTATCATTTGCAAAATTATAAATCCAGTAATTGTTGAAAAGGCAGTATAAACTTTATGTGTGCCAAATATTTTTAAAGCTACTGAATACTGCTAAATGCATTCCCTAATTTGTGCCTGTGAATATAGACTTGTACCTTTAAATCCACCTATTTATTTTGTCCACTTATAGTTTGTAAATCTGTAATAAGCCTATTAGATTCAACAAATAAAGATTTTTTTTTTTTTAACTTATTGTAAAAAGAAATACAATTAACTCTTGATAATTTGATTTTTTTTTTTTTAGTCCCTTCAATTTCAAATTATTTAGCCAACTTAGTGACGTGCTAACTGTCATTGGTACCTTTAGGACAATCATATATTTGACATTCTTATTTAATGTTTTTAAACAAGATACGTCTTGAGTAAAAAAATGTATGTTTTTATTTGTGTTGTTTATATGTATGGTATTCTAGGGTACTTGGCCCCATTGTCCTTTCCCCCATAACACGACCTTGAGTCAAATGTATATATTCAAAACTTTTGACACAAGCACATTTTTAGAAAATAATAGCAATTTTTTTTAATAATAAAATTATTGATGCAATAACAACTATTAGACTAAAAACTGATTTATTAAAAAAAAAATGTACATAATTTAATTTATACAACAAGCACATGATTTGCAATAATCACACAATCAGCATTACAAATACAATAATATCTTTTTATAAAATTACATACATTTTATCAAAATATAACTAAATTAATCACATCATAAACAAAAAAAAAAATTCAAGCACCTGTTAAATAAGTTGCTAACTATAAAATAATTAGAACAACCATAATTTAGCATAACACAACACATTTTAATTGAAAACAACTTTATTATTAAAATACAAATAAAAACATAATTAAGATATCATTTTATTATGATAAATAAATTATTATTATTATTAATTAATTTAATTATTATTCATAATTACTATGAGAGAGAAAAAAAATGTGCAAATAAAATATAGTACAATAAGAATAGACTATTAGTATAGTTTTATAAAATTTAACAACAATCTTTTTTTAATTTTAAATCAAACAGTTGGTATATCACATTGACAGTAAAGCAATATATTTTGTATTATATCAATTTATAAGTTAAGTGAAAGGAATAGGCAGAGTACTGTAGCAATGATTTTAAATAATACTAAATTACACTATATTAATTGTTTTACTGTAAAAATATAAAAATAATAATTGAGGTAAACAAAAATAAGTTTTAAAAACAAATAGTTTAACTAAGATAAAAATAATAAAAAAATTTTATTAGTTAATATTCATTATCCATTGTTTTTTTTTATATAACATAAATAAGTTAAATGTTTTAGATTTTTTGTTTTAAAATTATAATTTCAACATTAAAAATTGAAATCATCCCTTTGCTATGATGTTCACAGTAATGAACATTAGAATATACAATTGACTGAATATTTTATTTAATTAAAACCTTATATTAAGACAACACTACAATATTTTTATAAATACTTAATTACAAGAAATATTTGATAGTCTTTTCTATAATAAAATGATATGAATTATTTGCAGATATTAAAATTTTAATATTAATTTTGAATATACCAATGTAAAAATCCTTCCTGAATTTTTATAAGGTAATATCACAAAAATAATATATCATGACAGTATTAAGTCTTATATACAATTTAATAATTATTAGTAGACAAGTTATAATCTAAAACGCTTATGAGGTATTTAGAACTGGTGTGCATTCAAAAATTTAGTCTTAATATTAAATACAAAAAAGTGCAGTCTTATATTAAAGGTAAAACAAGTATAGTTTTGAAAAAATGACTAGTTAATTTTTCGTTTATTAAGTATAAAAACAAAGCTATGATATGAATCACTTAATAATTATAAAAAAGTATATGATTTTATTTTAACAAACCAAAATTAATTAAATACTAGATAACTATTAATGTTTTTTTATAAAACTAAGTAAAAAAATGTATACTATTATTTTATGTGTTAAGTTTTAAAGATACAAAAATATGAATAATTAATTAGTATAATTTTTGTTGATAAATGTTTTATAAAATTTATAATATTTCATTGAAATTAATTATTTATTTATACTTCTATTATAATTGTAAATATATCAATAATCAATTGGTTAAAATATTTTTTTTTATCTGAACATTTTTCAACTGTTTGTAAAAAAATTAATTTAGTATTTTTAAAGTTAAATAAACTAACAATATGTTTTCACAATAAAATTAAAACTTCAGTTATGAGTAAATTAATAAATATACTTCTAGCACAGACTATACTTCCAAGACTTAAATAAAATTAAAATGCTCAGATTATTTCCGTTATATATAAAAAATCACATTTTAAGGAAGAAAATATTACTGTAATATTATCTTTCTTAAATACATTTTTGTTCTATTTCTATCGATGTTTAGAGATCTGTATCAATATATTCAAATATTTGCTATGTTTCACAATATCCTGGATTAAGTGTAATATTTGGGATTAATTCAATACGTTCTACATCTTCCACATCATCTAATCCTAAGAAACAAGATGATTTCAAGTTTAAAATTGTTCATAAATTCTAGTTAAACAAATACACAAAACATACTTTTATTAGTTCTAGGATCTTTTAGTAAAAGATAGCAAAATGCAATTCCAAAAATGCTAAAGGTAGTCATAATAACAACAACTGCAAATATCCATGCTTTTGTATGAAACTTATCAATTCCCTCCATTAAATGTTTTTCTAAGTCTAATAAAAAAAATATTATATTATTAGGTACAATACTATTAAGTTATTAATTATAGAACTATCAAATTGAATAAAATTTTAAATTATGCACAACTTTTTTGATAATAATTACCAAAGACAATCAATTATTGATAGTCTTTCATTATATCTTAGTATTTTATTATGGTCATTGAAATTTATGTTCTGTCGTAGTTGTCCTAGCCTGGTATAGATACAAAATACACACAAAAGAAACGAATACTAATTTTTAGTGTTAACAGTGTTTCTTTGGCTCTTTTCTAGTACACTTGTCAGCATACGCCAGTCAGCTGAATACTCTCAAATTATTAACGAATATCAAAATTAACGGCTATGAAGATGGTTATAGTTAAACTGTCAGTAATATATATCTCTTTTCATAATTAGATTCCTCTTTTTATAGTGTATGGTTCCCTACTCATTTTACATTATTTTCTGATTCTAATTTTATTTTTACAATTTTTATTAACATCATAATAAGCATATTATGTTGACATCATAAGTAATGGTTTTACTACATTTTTTACAATAATATTATAATCACACTTTTTCAAATAAAAAAAAAACACATCATGGTAAAATTAATACCTTCTCAGCTTCGAATCGAAGCTAAAATAAGTCAAGTTAATGTAGAAATTTGAGAATTTAAGTACTCTATTATGACCTAATTTATTAAATCTAATTTTTCAATTTTTTTAATACTTACCAATTTCAGATAATTCACTTAATGTTTTTGTGATCACAACAGTTTTTTCACTATTTCCTACAATATTAGCCACCCACATTTCAACTATATATAATGTATTAAATTGTAAATGATAAATTTCTTTCTGCAACTGAAAAAATAAATTAAATAGAAATACTAATTAATCTTTGTATATGATATCTTAGATATAACATCAACATTTAAAATCATTATAATTCATTAATTATTTGAAAATTAAAAAAAGCTCAATGCATTCAGAAGCTATTTTAATAAAGTATAAAATAAGTTAACAGCTGTCATTTCATTTTACATAGTATTTAAGTATTTGATTATACACTTATTGAAGTTGAAAATGAATTACTCATATATGTTTTTTGAGTGTCATTACTTTCAAGATTTTTAATCAGACTATGGAATTTTAAGATTTTGTTTTCATACTTTTGAAATATAAAACAACAACCAAAATGAAGTAATACTTTTTGTATATTTTAAATCATAGAACAAAATGAATATATTTTATAATCATTAATTAAACATAAATAAAAAATACTAGTAAGATAGATTCTAAAATGCAAATATTTCCAATACTTCCATATGACATTAATAATAATTATATTAAAAGTAAAATAACTTTTATATCTAAATTTTGGCACTACATCTATCACACTGTTAACACGTAAATATGCATAACATCTAAACTTTTTAACTAACTTTAATTAGTAGTTTAAAAATATATAAAGATAAATTAGATAGAAACTTACACTTGATATGTTTGAATAAACAGTTATCCACTTATCATCGGAATTATTAATCTCTTTGATTCTTATAGTTACATTTGAAATAGGAAATCCTCCATCATCTTCAACTGGTTTCCATAAGATATGTATAAGTACTGTATAAGGAATTACTTTAACACCCACCAAAGGACTTGGTACACCTAATGAAAAATATATACAATAGAAATAAGGTTAACCTGTAAAGTATTTATTTAACACTTACTAATGACTTTTAATTCAATTTCATTTAATGGTACATGGTCAGCATAAGTATTTGCTGTTCCCAAATCACATACATAAGTACCAGAATCAGATTTTTCAACATTTGTTATAAATAAGTCTCCATTTGTTAAAATTGAAACTCGTCCAGGCAATTCCTTGTGATTCATTTTCCAAGATACATCAGCCTTTTTGGTATAATCATTCCCACATTTTAACGTTACATTTTCTCCCAATTTTGGATACATTTTTACATAGTTATTGGTTCCAAAAACAACTATAAAAGACACATTTAAAAATAAATACATACACAGATAGCTAATGATATATGAGACACCTAAAGCTAAAAGGATCAAAGATACAAAACATTAATTCAAAGAAAATTGAATTTAAAGTTAAAAAATTACATATTTTCAATGCATATAGTTTAAAATATCAATTACAAATAGTGGTTAGTTAAAAAAAATTTTCTGTGATCTTTAATCCAATCAAAGAAGTGGTTATTTTACTTTGTAGTTTTGCACTTCACATTTTTTTCTAAAATGTCACTTAAATCCTTTCAGTTCTAGGTGCCTCATATACTATAAGTAGTTAGAACTTACATGGAATTATTAACTGGATAATTGAACAAAAATAAAACAAAAAAATTCCATAGGAATTGTTTACTATCATATTTTTAAATCTAAAATTAATAAAATTTCAACATCTCTTAACTCAAAATAGTAAAACAATCATTTTCGATGTTATTAATTAACAGGTCATCACATACTAAATATTTTAGGAAATGTAGCACAAATTCAATCAGTAACAGAAGTCATATTCAATATTCAAAGCAATCCTTTCAAGGACGTGATCAGTCTAATAATCCTTAATACATACTCTTTACTTATTCAGTGTACCCACTTTGTGACGCTCTGATTGATTTTACTGTTTGATGTCGACTACGTAAGGTGAATTATTATTATCTATATCTGTAATTATAAATTGCTAGCAATTTCTTGCTAACTTCATATACGTAAAATTTCTTGATATTCTATTCTAATGATAATATTATCACTAATATCTAATACAATCACAGATTAAAATGTTTCATTTAATCTGTAATACTATTATAAAAATTGGAAGTGATTAAGTTACCAATCATCGGCGTTAATAATTACGCTTATATTATATACTTTTTATTGTAAAATATAAATGATCTAATTATTAGTATGTTCAGCATACTATAAGTCAACTTAATAAAATTAAAAATTAAAACATATGAATTTGGAAGTGTTTAATAGAGTTAACTGGAAGGTATGAATATTTTAGTCAATAATTAATAATTACTTTAGAAATTATCTTATTCTGTTGAATTCAAAGGATATTAAACATAACTAATAGTTTAAATTATAATTTTTTTAACATAGAGAATATTATCTATCAAGTTGTTATTTATGATAGAATTAAGAAGTATCTTAATTAATTTACCGAATCTTAAGATTTAATTATAAAATTTTAAACTATTTTTAATATATATTTTTTTATCGATTTCCTAGTACTAGAAATTTCATTTGAAATTTTTGTCCATAAAAATTCATTAAGCAACAATATTTAGGTAATAAAGAGTATTTAAATATACAATTAAATGTTACCTTGTTTTTTTTTATATAAATAGATAATTGACAACATAAAGTAATGCAACAAGTATAGAAATTTTATAAATATCTTTATATTATTAGGAACTCATAAGGCCATTAAAATAATTGATTTGATTTAACCCTTAACTACCGACATGCAGTCTACCAGACCGCATCAAATTTTTGTTCACAATTTACTATTTATACATTATTGTTAATTGTATTTTTTTTTAATGTACCTTTAAATGGTTGACATCTAATTATTAATTATATGAAGTACAAGAGTACAATCTGGTAGACCGTACGTCAGTAATTATGTCATTTATTTAGACGTCGGTAGTTAAGGGTTAATTATTAAAGTATTTATGACTTATTTTCAGGAGGGGAGTGGTGGGCGTTCAGGTATGTATTGCGAATGGGCTTCACTAAGTTTAGCTGTACAAAATTGTGGAGAATTAGGACAGAGTGTGCTAAACAAATTTCCAGCAGGTTCTTGCAAGGAAGTGGTAACATCTGTTATCAAACAATTATCATCTAATTTAGGAATAACACAACCCCCTGAACCTAGCAAACTTATCAAAGATAATGAAGTAATTTGGTGCATGGAAGTGAGTAATGTTTTTTTATTGAAAATTTTGTATAAATTATTTTTCTTGGATTTATATATTTACTTGTTTGTTAGGTGATATGCTATGGTTTAAGTCTTCCACTTTCAGAACATGACACAATTAGAGATTGTGTTCATATTTATTGTGATTGGCTTTCATCATTATATGAAACTCCAAAAATTTCAGTTCCTAAGCCTGTATGTAATGATCCTAATTTATATGCTAGAAAAATTATTTCACATTTTTATAACTTATTTGTTCCTCGAAAAGGAGAAGGTAAATATCAAATAACCTCATAATCTATATATGTAATTATAAAATTATGAAGTAAATTCATAATTTTGTTATGTTTAATTAAAATACTATTTATGTTACAAGTCTGGACCTTTATATATTTAAATATTGGTAAGACTACATTTAATATTCGACTTAAGTTTTTATTTTTAAAAATATGTATTATTATACTAATAACCTTACATCAATTATTAAAAAGTATAAGTTTTTCATAAATAGGAGCTGATGCAATTAATCGCCAAGCTGTCCTATGTCATCGAGTTTTAAGGACTTTACATGATGTATCTCGAACATCAAAAATTATAGAAGCAGAAACATGGGAAGCACTTTTATTATTTCTTCTTGCCATTAATGATGCATTATTAGCTCCACCAACAATTAAAGGTAATAGAATATTTTAAATAATTTATTATGCTATTTTTATTTATGCATAAATATTCTGAGTCTTAAAATTATAATTTTAGCTCATAAATATTAAATAGTATGAATTTTACAATTTTTTTTAGAAGATGTTGGAGAAGAACTATGTGAAAGAGTGCTGAGTGTCTTAATAGAAGTTTGGTTAGTCGCATGTGTTCGTTGTTTTCCATCACCATCTATGTGGAAAACATTGAGAGAAATGGCTATTACTTGGCGTCATCGCACAGCTTTAATTCATCAATGGAATCGAATAAATTTAGCACTTACATCACGTCTATTAACTATTATGTATGGTCCTGACTTTCCACAGCTTAAATTGCGTATGTTATCATGTTACTTTTTAATATATTAATTTTGATATTTAAAGTCTAAATATTTATAATCATACAGCTAATGAAGATGTCCAACTTATTCCACCAGAAATGTCAAATGATACAATAGCTCAAAGTTGGTTTAGATTATTACAAACAATTGGTAATCCTGCTGATCTCAGTCGACCATCAACAATAAGTCGAACTCCAAAATTTTTACAAGCCGCCCTTTCTGATTCTCAACATAAACTGGTTGATCCAACAAATCATCCATGCTTAAATATTTTGCCTTATAATTTTTATATTTCTATACGTGGAATTGCTTCACTTGTTGATGCATTTTTAGGCAAGCTTACTAATTTTATTTTATTGTTTTATATCATACTTATAACTTCTTTTATTAAAACAAACTATACTAGTTCTTCCTTCTCTCTTGAAAATATAAACTTGAATGCACTCTTTTTTTAAAAAATAGGTATTCCATCTCATCCTACTATTATTTGGGATGATGTTCTACCTTGGAGTATGGGAAGCACTTTAGATAAAAAGGATGGAAGTATAGTAACACAAACCCCACCTTCTCAAAGGCGATTGGCAAAAAGTTTTAGTGTTGCACCAACTCTTACCAATAAGGGTACAATAATCTTTTGAAAATTTACCTTTACTAAAAAATAACCTGTCTTAAGATAATGTAAAATGTTTGCATGGCTGTATTTATATAAGTGGTATTTGTTTTCATTTAATAACCTTTTAATTTTGGTTTATCTTAAAACTATTTTTTCTATCTTATTTGAGAACTTATATTAAGAACTTTTAACTGCATTTTTTATTTAATAAAAATAGTGAACATTTAATAAATAGTTGATTAAGAAGTATGTAAATAAAGTTGTGATTTAAGCATAACACTAGATTGCTATAATTATACTAAATAATATATTAGGCTGCACTATTACTGTTAGGTCTTATAGTTTTTCATATAACTTCATATATGACATTCTCTATACCAGATTTTTAAATAAAAAATGTCACTTGTTTATATCCAAGTATACCCATTTACAATGTATCTAATATTAAATCTTAAATAATCTAATTTTAATTACAATTATTAAATATATAATGTAAAAATGATACAAAACACATGAAGTATAAATAATAATATAATTTAATACTAATTTCATATAGTTTTTTATTATGTGAAATATTACTTCTTTTAACTTATTTATATAATATATACATATTATGTTTCTATATAAATTTTATCTTTATGTTTTTTGATTGTATAAGATATTGAATAAATTTCACTAATAAACCCCAACAAATTTAGAATTCTCTTGGGTCAATGAGTGGAATTTAATAATTCTAAAGTCATATTATGTATCAATACATTTAAGATATTAGTTATTTTGAACTTCAATGAGGTATAAAACTTTTGAGGATGATCATTACATCATAATCAACATAGTGATTTACTTTATGTCAAAAATATTTAAAAAGCGATCTTATTAAGAAGTTTAATATTAAAACTCATCTAATGAATAAAGCTAAATAAATTTAATATAATTTAAGTTCTAATATATTTTACCCAAAGCTTATTACATCATGTTGTTAATTTAAGTGATAATATTTTCAAAGATTAGTACAGTATTTTCTCTAATTACTTATAGGTATTCCTAAATCATCATTGGTGGGCTTAACAACAAGTCGAATAAACACTCAAACTAATAAACAATCTACTTCTACTATATCAATATCTTCAACTATATCAGGTAGTTTTTTATATTTTTCTTTTTACACAGTTTTATAAAAAAGTTATTGTATTTTATTTTTTGATATACAAGTTTTTATTAAGGAATTTGACTAATTTTACCTGATCTTTTAAAAATTTAGATTTTATACTTAAAAAAATTAGAAATAACCAAATATATTAGTACTCTCGTATAAATGTTGAGGTATTTTTAATTATGGTTAAATGTAATTTAAATATCATATATTTAGCCTATAAAAAGTTATTATTACAAATGATATAATAATAATATTTATGTAGAACCTAAAGTATTTGCGGAAAATCGTCCACACTGCAATAGTATTCTTCATCTTTTCGGGGAATGGTTATTTGAAGCAGCACTTCTTGGAGTTGATTTTAATAAACCAAAACAAGCTACTCGTAAGTAAACATTGGTATAAATCAGTTTTAGATATCTAAGAAACTAAATCTCAGATTTATTTTTACTAGCTGACAGTAGAATGTCTAAACGACCTAGTTCAGTCATGTTTGATACAACTAGCATAAAAAGTGGTGGATCTGGAGGTTACAGTAGTATGGGAGGTGGAAGTACAGCTTCAGCATCTCAACCAAATTCACTAACTGACAATGTTTCTGACAGTATTGATTCCATTAATTTATTAAATATGGCCCATTATGATCGATATTTGCCTGGACGTGCTGAAGCAATAGGAACATTATGTAGAATATTTTGCTCTAAAAAAACATCTGAAGAAATTTTGCCAGTTTACTTAGCTCGGTTTTATATGACAGTCTGTGAGGGACTACATGTTAATGAAGTAAGAAAATATATATTTATTTAGATTTATCTAAATAACTTTTTGAACATTTAAAATATAATTTATTACATAAAACTTGATTAATTTTGTTATTTAAACTATTCTACCCATTTTATTATCCTAAAATAAAAGTGAAAATTGCAAATATTATATATTTTTTGTAGAGGTAATTTAAATTATATAAAATTAATAAGCTGTTGATTTTACAGATGCATGAATGTGATGAAACAATTACAAGCATATTATTAAATTCCAATGATCTATTTAGATTAGATTTGAGTGGTATAAATGTATTAGTACCTTATATAATTGAAACATTAGAACTAGTACTACCTGAAAGGGATTTAAAACTAAGGTATATCATTAACAATTTGATTACAACTATTATGTTAGTTATATTTAAATACAGTATTATTATGTGGTTATAAATTATTATTATTTATAATTCGTGTTATGTTAAAATAGGTCAATATTTAATTTTAAAATGATTAATTATTTTACAGATTAAATACTGTATCTAAAAGTGAACTTAGAAGGTCTGCTATAAATTTACTCTTATCTTTAGTTTCATACCCATTACATTTTAAAGTAATTGATTTTATAATTTTAAACAGTTAATTAGTTTAAATAATTTATTATGAATTAACATATTTTATATAGGACTTAACTATTAAGGAGTTGAATTCTTCAAGTAATATGTCTCGTGGATCTATCATTATGGGAGATCTAAAACCTCGTGTTATGAATCTTCTTATTAATGCTTTACAGAATGAATCTGACTCACATAACTGTCAAATGCTACTAGGTAAACTAAACATTCTTTTCATTTTCCTGTAGAGACTAGTAATATTATATTTAATAAAAAATTTCTTTTATATCAATTCTGATGGTGTAGTAATTCTCAAAGAGTAAAATATTAATTAATTTTTAAGAAGTTCTTATTAAGTCTAGATAAATTTTACCTTACAATAAATGTGGAAATGTCAAATTAATAAGAATAAAACAAAATTCCATTTTTCAAAATTGTGGTGTTGTTGCACTATAAAGCAAGGCCTTATATAAAGAGTTATTCATTAATGAATGACCCTTTTGTTAATCGAAACATAAAAATAATATTGATAATTTTTTTATTAGTTTCTTTTAGTTCCCTATTTCTATCAATTTAACAATCATGAAGTACTCTTTATGTCATCTCTTACACCTTATAAGAAAATCAACTTAAGTTTATCAAACTGAAACACACATAATTAATTAATTAATTTAATTGATAATGATCTAATTATAAAAAATTACTAGTCAATAACAACTTTTGGACCCATATTTTGAAAGTTATTAACAATTTAAAATAATGACTAGAGATGACTAGGTACTGCTATTTTTATAATTAGACATTTCTTGTCCATACTCTTCCTCCCACCTAGTTATTAACACATCAATAACTTCCCAAAGTTGTTGTATTGACAATTAATTTTCTTAATTAGATCATTAACTAAACTAGTTAATTATGTATCAGTATATATCTGTATTATTTTTAGGAGGTTTGCTATGTTGTGTACAAGATTCTGCATTTCTTGAAGAATCTGAAAATGATACAGAGTCTGACACAACAGCTCATAGTGATACACCATCTAATTTATTATCATCAGGTTAAACAGATTATTGAATAAATTTATACTCATTTATTGTATACATAAACACTTATGTAGTAGAATTTTGTATGTTATAATTTATTTAGTATGATTACTTTTAGTTAGAAAACATTATTAAAGTTACACTTTTTACTTAACCCTGGAACGCTAGCGATATCTTATAGGCGCATTTTACTAGCGATGTGTCAATTTGACTCCTTTGATAATTTTTATTGTTAAAGGTGTAAGCATAGAGTGAGTTGCAATAAAAACGAGCTATGATCATTTTTAAAAGATTTATTTATTCAAATCACGTAAAAAAGGTACAGAGTTTTAGGAGGGAAGGTATAGAAGAGGAAACGATCGACGTGTGCACAATGCATCAGTCTGACGTACGCTAGCATTCCAGGGTTAAAAAAATACTTGCACTTTAAACTTTTGTTTACACCTGTTTGCACAGTGGATACAATGAGTTCATTTAGTTTACCATCCAGTCAACATGATCAAATGGTAAGTTTATTTCAAACCAATGCAAGTAATACTCCCGAATCCAGTTTAGAACCGGCTGGCTTTTATTTTTCTGATGCATTCGACTTCTCAATATTGAACAAAAGTAATTTTTATTTTTTTTTAAGTTTTTGCTCAATTATGCTAAATTTAATTTTTTGCCAAAAAATAAGATATAACTTTAAATAATATTCTTAAAATTATTAGCTCTTGCACTATAATTTTTTTATTGTTGTTATTTTCATTGTAGTTATAACTTTTGGTTACCTTTAGTTACATGTTTACTTTAATTATTAGTTATGTAATACTTTTGAAGTTCGTATCTTATACCTTATAAGGATATCAACTTTGTTTTACAAAAAGGAACGTATATTTTAAATTTAATAAAATTGTTTAATTTTTAACTTAATAGTAAATGGTATTTGCATTTTTAACATTACTTTATTTGTTTAATATATGTAATACATTAAATTTTCAATTTTTTTAATTAATATACATGTATAATCTACGAGAGATTACAAATACAGGTAGCTAATTGTTTTTTATGACATTGCTATTCACAGATACGCAGTATCTAATATCAGTTATGATTTCATCAATTGATATGCTTTTTGTATTGCCAATTTGTATGTAAACTAGTAAAGTTATGTCATGTTACTATTAAAATAAAACATCAAACATTTTATTAAATTCAAAATAAGTGTTCATATTTGAAAAACAAATTTTAAAAAACAAAACTTATAAAGTGTTAAATAACTAATAGTGCAAGAATAATATGTAACTAAAGGTAACCAACAAAAAATTTCTAAATTATTTTTATTTTGTTTGTAATTATGTGGTTTTTGATTAAAAAAAAAATCACTCTGTATACAGGTATGAATCTAGAGTGAATTTTTTCTAATCTAATTGAATATGGATAATAATATAGTTTGATTAAATGAAGAAAACTGTTGTCTAAAAAGTAAAGCATGAATGAAAGAAATCAATTAACTTAACTTATTATCTTTTTTAAAAATGTAAATTTCCAGCTCTATTAATTTTTTAATTATTTTGTACAGCAAACAGTTTATTAATAATGTATTATAATTTAATTAAATTTAATCATTTAAATAGACTATTTATAATAAAAAGTTACATAAAAAAATTTTCTATTTCAGATTCTGCTCATGCATTGTACATCCGAGCTACATATTTAGTATGTCACAGACTAATTTCTTCATGGAAATCTGACTTGAATATATCACTTGCTGCTTTAGAATTGCTCATGGGATTAGCTAGAGTGAATATAAGAGATACAGGTATATATGCTTAATACATAAATTGATTTAAATAATTTTTTAATATTAATTTTGAAATATTTTATCAAATATTTTCTGATATAATTTTTATGCAGCAAAAAAGTGAAACGATTATATATTGAGTGCTTATGATAAAAAAAATTACCCTGTATATATACATTTATTTTTATATAATGATAAAATTCTCCTAGTACCTATTTAACTAATAAATAATTAAAATGAAACAATTTCAAATTAATGAAAATTATATATATATATATATATTATACTTTTAATTCACATAATAATGTAATCATAGATAATGGATAAGACTCGCAAAATTTTTGAAAAATCATACGTATTAGTCATATATAAAAATAATTTTAACTAGGAAAAAGTTGAATAACCGTTAAAAAATTAACTACCCTACCTATATAGATTCAATAACGAAAATATTTAATAGCTTAATGAAAAAAATAATCCATTTTAAAATTTAATAACTCTTTCAGGAGTATTGATTATAACGATAAAATCATATTATTAGTAATTACTAATTAAGTTTTGCTTATTTATCATGCTTAGTAATTTTATTATATGTATAATTAGATTCTTTAGAATGTAAAAGAGCAGTAAAATGGTTATGTGATTACATTACTTATCAGTGTTGGAGACCACCTCCAGCTCATTCTCGAGATTTACATTCTACTATTGTTGCTGCCTATCAATGTGCCGCAGTTTGGCTTGTTGCTCATCCTTATCTTTTAGATGATAAAGATTGTCTTAATACTGTCATTGAAGTAGTTGAACTTGGCATATCCGGAACAAAATCACATGTATATTATTTTTAATTAAAGTGATTTAGTTTAAAACAATTCAAATTTCGTTTTACTTTAATAAATATTATATTTTAGGGAAAACCTCAAGAATCAATAAAGATGAAGGATGAAAAGGAACTAAAACCTGCTTCAATGAGAGTGCGAGATGCAGCTGAATCTTTATTAGCTATTATTTTAGAACAAGTAAGAGTTTTTCATATAACTTTCATTACTTAATTATACTTAAGTATAAAATTTATGTATAATTATTAGGTGGGTAGTTTCCCTTCAATTTGTGGTGCTGAAAGTTTGTCATGTTTGTTAGATGAAATTACTTTAATTAAACATTGTAACTCAATCGCTGTAAATAATATGGAATGTAAATCTCATGCAGTATCTAAGTTTCGATATTTTGTACTAGAGAATTCAATTATTCTAGCTTTATTTGAAGAACCTTTGGGCAATGATCAAGGTATAAAAATCACATAGTTTCTTTGACTGCATATTAAAAAAAATTTCATTAGATGCTCAACCTACATTGACTGTACTTATAAGAAGTTCATTTGGAAGACAAGCATGGACCCTTCAATTAAGACATCTCCCTAGACATAGATCTTCATCTTCCAAACAATATAATACTTTCCCAGGACGACCAGTACCAATGGAAGAGCCCAATCGACAAAAAAATTATCGTAAATCAAGCAGACATTTCTCTGAGGTTAATGATCAAATATCAATGTGTAAAATGTATCTATTTCAAATCAGTTATGGTATGTGAAAAGTATTTTATTTCAAATTATATTACTATATTTTTAAGGGACAAGTCCATTCCAAGTCTAGACAGCTTAGTTTTTAATGATGAAGAACATAATATTTTATCAAATTTAATCGAAAAGCAAAAAGAAATGGAAAATCTTTGTTCAGAATCTTTATCAAAAACTGTTGATATTATGCCCCCTCAACCATGTACAGACTTCAGTACAGCAAGACTTTTTTTATCTCACTTTGGATTTTTATCTAGATTGGATGATGTTAATGTTTGTAGAATTTATATTAATTATTTTATCATTAAAATAATATCTATTATTTTTAAGATAGATAATTATTGAAATTATATTATTTTAATAAAATTTGATTTTTAAATATAAAACTAATTTTATCATTTATAAAATGTATGTAAAAATTTGTATGACTTATAAAAAAAAATTTATTACAAATATTTTGTCATAAATACAACTTTAATAATATAAGAAGAACATAAAAAATAGTTAGCAATTCACTTACTCAGTGTCACAATATACTTTAGTCAATTAATAAACTATTTAATGGTATGATTATTTATATAAAATATTTCTTATATAGTCATCTTCAGTTCCATCATTAGTTGCTTTAAATGCAAATCATGAAAATTTTTATAAAGATTTAGAAATTCTGGATAACACACCTTCTCGAACTTGTGATACATGTCATATATTTTATGTCAAGGATGGCCAGAAAAATGTTAAGGATATATTAATGAATGTAGTAAGTTATACATTTGTTTTTAATTACTATTCTAAAAAATAACTTAGTATCTAAATAGAATATCAGTGATTAAAATAATTCTAAAAATTTTTATGTTAGACATCTAGTACAACAGTGACTCCTAAGTTTTTGGAAATACTTACTAATCTTGGTTGGCCAGTGAATGTTAATGAACATCCTGGTTGGACTGGACGGATTGAAACTAGCTGGAATTTACCAGGTTTTAAGAATACTAGTAACCAAAAAATGAATACATTACACGGCGGAAATTTATACAATGGTGAGAGTCATGTTATTTATTGGGCTGATGTAAGCTCTGAAATAGCGTTTGTTGTTCCATCACATAATGTACAAGAAAAATCACCAAAAAATGAAGGTATTTTAGTATTTATATTGTTTAATACTTATTTAAGATATGGACAATTATTTAATTCCTATTATATAAGGGAGAGTCTCTAGAAAGGAGGATTACAGATGAGAAATATTTAATAATAAAATAGTCATTTCTGGTCTCACCCCCATTTTATATTTCAAAATAGTAATAATTTCAGAAATAAGTTTTTAAAAAATTATTATCAGCTAATCATTTTCTTAATTAGATATTTTCTATTATACATTGTGATTTCTTAACTATGCCTCACTTAATATCATTAAAGATATAAAAACTTTAAAGTAAAATAAAAACCTTTATATACCAAATTCTCATATTTTCCTAATTTTCATACCCCTTGCACTTATGCCATTTAAAATTGAATAAACTTAAGATTTTCAAATAACAACTTATAAATTTAACTGACATACATATTGGTAATATAAAATAATCTATTTAAGAAAATTTCATTAGTCGTTTACAACTTTTATACTATTATCTTAGAAGTTATGAATAAATGTTTGTTGTTGCGAGAGGAAGAGACTCAAAAATACCCAAGAACATATTTCTTTTAATTATTCTATGTAAATCAATGATAAATAGATTTTCGTATTTGTATTTTTTACACTAAACAATTAAATTAATAAGAAATTAAGTTATGAGGAGGCGAAGCTTATAGGCTTACTTCCTTCCTAGAACAAAAATATTCCTTTGGTACTATATATCCCTTTGATAAAATGATTATCCTGTATTTTATATTTAAGAATTAAAACTAAGTATGTTATTATATAAGAACTTTATTACATTGCTACTTCGAATGCATTATTGATATAGTTTGAGTTTGATTTTGAAATAAAAATTATTCAAGTGAAGATACCTTATACTTCTAGCTTCAATGCGAAGCCGGAAAGGTAATGGTTTTACTATGATGTCTTTTTTTTATTTTGCGTCTGTTATTACTTTTTCTCAGCTCTCACCGAACCAATTTCTTTTAATGATACGTCAAAAGATCACAAATTGTATCTAGTCAAAGACATTACCCTCAAAAATTGAAAAAATTTCCGTCGTTCCCTGTAAATGGGGGAAACCTCCAAAAAAATTACAAATTTAAAAATCAATATAATTTTTTTTTTTATAGATGCATGATATCATTACCTATCATTTGCTATATTTTTTTTATATATCTGATCCTTTACCTGCCCACAGGGGGAGATTTAAAATGACTACTTTTTCACAAAAAATTAATTTTTTCAACTTGACTTTTGAAAATGTTCGGGAAAGTCTGACTTTTATATATATCTTAAATTAAAGCTAATGTAATGTACTTTATTATGCAAAAAAAAAATTTGGGACTTTATTTTGTCTTCACGGTAAAAATGGCTACCAAATGCTATTATTGTGTGAAAATTCTCGATTTTATTTTTTACATTTTTAACTTTATAATGCTATAACTTATTGAAAAGTGTATGGATCAACATAATTTTTTTATGAGAAATAATATTTTTTAATAATCCCTTTTTCATTCGGCATACTTTATCTTAATCAGGATATTAATAAGGAACTAGCAGATCATGTAGCTTTTGGAATAATCCACCAATTTTCTAAAATTAAACACTATCTAAAGATTTGCATCGAAGCGTTTTTTTTTTTTTAGTGATTTTAATCACTGTCAGATATCATTATACTTGATCCAACTATGCCACGTCAGCACTGTGCTGCGACTCCCCTGTGCTGGGTTTTTTTATTTTATTTTTTCAACGCCTAAACAGGCAATTTTCAAAAGGCATTAAAATCTAAGTTTAAATTTATACAACAAAACATTATTACTATATACAATATAAATTATTTTGATAAACACTATGAAATACTACAAACTAAAAACGGTAAAAGCTAAGTTTAAATATATACAACAAAACATTATTATTATATACAATATAATTTTGATAAACGCAATGAAATACTAAAAACTAAAAACAAAAAAGATCTTGACTAAACTCATTAAGTCGCCTAAATATTGTATGGAGAGGGTGGTTTTGACCATATGAGGTAGGATGAAGGGGAAGTTGGAAAAGGGAGTGGTTTCTTGTGTTATAGGAAGGGACTGGGAAGGATATTTTGGAACGAAGTTCAGGAGAATCAATGGAACTATTGAGAAGGGATTTTATAAATGAGACGTCAACATCCTCTCTGCGGTAGGCTAAGGAAGGAAGTTGGATAGCGGTGCAAATAGAGGAGTAGTTATGAGGGGGATGATTTATTTTCAAAAGGAAAGCAGCATAGGAAAGGAATTTATTTTGTACTCTTTCCATTCTAATAATATCTTTAACAAGGTAAAGGTGCCATACCACATCCCCATACTCTAGTATAGATTGATACTTAATGTGATAAAAATATATTAAATCATATTTTTCTAGTAAATTAAATATGATTTATTTATCTTTTTTAGCTGCTACTAATTCGAAACATGAAACATTTAAATATACCAAACCTATGGCTTCTAGAACAGTGTCTGTTGATTTTGATGATATGGGTAAACCTACACAACCATTTATTGAACCTCCAAAAAGACGTCCACAATTTAAATCAGCGACTATTATGCTTGTTTGGTTGGAGAGTTTTGAAGATCATTTACATTTTCCTATTGGTATTTAAAACTTAAAATTACCTTTTAAAGATATTTTTTTAATAATATTATTCTATATTATTATCAGCCGATTTATTGACTTTTACCAATACGGGACTTGAACCAGCTTCATACATAAAAGATGTTAGTGATGTACATGTAATATATTTACATGAACTGCAAAGTGGTCTTCTTAGGGTAAAAATACAAGGACCCTTTAGCAGGTAATCATTCAATACTTAACTTTATTAATAAAATAGTAACAATTATTTATTATTTTAACTATTTTACTAACAATTATTTTTATATACTTTACATTTTTATTACTTTATTTTTAAAATGATATATTAAAAAAAAAAATTTTCCTTTTTTCTAATTAATCAATAGAACAAGTATTGCAACCCCATTAGTTGATGGTATAGTTATTAGTAAAGATGTAGTTGGTTCTATGGTTAGACAAACAGCTTTAAATATTTGTAGGCGTAAAAGATTAGAAAATGACAGGTAAGTTAAAAATAAATAATTAATAAGGTCTTTAAAATTTATTAATTTCTTTGTTTAAATTTAGTTTTCAACCTGGGCACATTCGGAGACGTTTAAAAATTCAAGAAATTTTAGGTAAATATCAAATAAAAATGACAAAACCTGAACTGTATACTTACTTATTGAATAATACTAACTTAGGTTAATATATTTATATCTTATAAAAGTTAGTGCAATATTTTTATTTTTAGTGTTTTTTTATATATATGTAATATTTAGTAAATCATAATAATTGTATAATATTAAATGTAATATGATTTATTTAACAAAATATTTTACTTACTTACCCTTATTAATTCTTAGCCTTTATAAATATTGTTTTATACTTGGAAAAAATACTTTATCTTTGTAATTTCTTAAAACCAAGTTTTAACTAATTATTAGAATATTATGATAACATTGAAATACATTCCTTATATTGTATCAATGAATAAATAGATATTCTTTATAAATTTAATATTTGTACAAGTACAATGAAATAAATTTATAGTTCCTATGATTTCATCTAAAGAAATGATTGCAAATAGTGACTTAAAAAAATCATAAAAGAAAAATGTAGCTGAATTTGTTATGAGGTTTACTGAATTTTTTTTGCCAATGCTTTAGTCTTTCTGTAGAAAATGTCAAAGTACAATAATATAAAAACATATTGTAAATACTTTATCATTCATCAAATATTATTCTTGAGAAATACTGTTATGAAAGTATGTATAGTAATTACTATAATATTACTAATATTAATAAATAAATATTACTAATAGGATACAAAATTGTATGCATCAGTTTTATCTACAGCAAAATTAGAATTTTAACTCAATATCTCTTGTAACATCTAATATTTCAATAAATTTCATTAGTTTTTTTAAATAAAAAATTGGATAGTTACATTTCTTATAATTGAGTTTCATAGACATTCTTACTACCAAATTTATACTTTATTTAACTTCATTTATTATATATTTAATAAGTGTCTCATAAATTATTTAAAATGTTTTTAGTTTTACTTATAGTTTTATATTGATTTAAGTTAAATTAAGTTTTGTATAAACTTAACTTAGATTATATTTTTTTTAAATTATTAAACATTTAGTTATTTACTATTTAAGAATAATTTTGAACTTAGTTTTTTCAATGATGCCCAATAATCTGTTATATAACTTAATTCAAATTTTGAATATTGATAAGTATTGGAAGTATGAAAATTGTTTGAACTTATTGTTTATTATTGATCTTTTATAGCATCACCATATTAATATACAGTTTTTTTAGAAATGATAACACAAAAATTATTTAAGTATCAGTAACAGACACAGACAGAACATTTAATTTATGACATAAATACAGTACACAAAACATATAATCAAAATAAAATAATTTTACAATAATTTACATATACTTAAAATAACAACAATAATAATATTAAAATAATAGTAGTAATAATTAAGGTGGAGTATTTCACAACTTGTACAAATAATTATCTAATAAATAAAATGTATGAAAGTTATAAGTATATAAAAACTTAATACATTATTTATTTTTTGATTTAGGAATATAATTCATTATAAATAAAACAAATCATCTATAATGTGATATAAGATAATATCTAAGATATAATTTAAATAACTTAAACAAACAGCTCTGACAGCATATTATTTGGAGTATATTGTGTACTATATTTATATTCATATTCTGGAGAACTGAGTGATTCATATCCACAATCTTCATACATTTCCATTTCTACATTATCATTTTCTTGACAAATTTCAACAATATGTTCATCATACGAAGTTGTAACTTCTTCAATTGCTTCTTCTACAATTATGAAACGTTCTAATGTGTGTTTTTCATCTTCATAACTATTTTCAACTTTTATAGAAATTTCAGAGTTTTGTGTTTGTAAATCTAAGTTAGGAATCAAAATGTTGTCTGTGTTTGTATCTGGCAACAATGTTGTATCAAACTTTATGTCAGGTAAGCCAATATCTTGGCTGGGTTCCATGATTTCTGGTGTGCTCCCCACCATTTCATCAAGACAAGTGTCATTGAGAAAACTCTACAAAATATTTAACATTTAAATTGAAAGTAATAATTAGATGTGTTGCAAAATGTTACACAACAGTTAAATACTTACTTCACCAAGTAATTCATCTGCAATTTTTTCCAATCTTTCTGAAACTTTATTGTCAAGCCAATCCATACTGTCATCATCTGGTAGCTGAAGGTCATCAAGGAAGGAATGGTCATCGATAGGTATAGAATCTGATAACAGAGCATCATACAGGATATTTGATTCCGTTTTCCCTTCTGCAGAGGGTGTCTATTGGACACTGCAGGTCCTTCAATCAATATCCTGTTGTTTGCTGCTGGTATACATGGTTCTGTAGCTATCACCTCTAACTTTGTTGATTCAGCGAGCTGTTCACGCAGTCTTTCATTTTCTGTCATCAATTGCTCTTGATTATGACGCAAAGCTTCCACTTCATTTTTAAGTTGTAAGTTCTATGATAAAATCATTTTATTAATTATACACAAAATCATATATAAAAAAATTAAATATATTAATTTACTTGCCTCTTTTCTCAACCCATGGACCATACCAGATAGTATATTAAACTGAGCTTTTTTTTTATCTCTGGATAATTGTGCTGCTTCTCTATTGCGTAACTTTCTAAAAGAAAAATTTAATTGTTAATAAAATATCATCAAAAACTATTATTTCACTATACAATTTCGAAAATAATTTAATTTTAAAGCATATCCAAACTACATATGTAAATTTTTATTTATATTGGATGGAGATAATTGCCTTTATTCCCTACAAGGAAAAACCCGTAGACGCAGATTTGCGAAAAGGGGATTTTGTTAGCAAAGTACACATTATTTATATTTATACAAAAAACATTTCAATACAGTTAAATATATTAATTAAAAAATCATTTAGACTGTTTTAACATCGTATGTAATAACTAGAATTATAGCGTAACTTGGAAATTTTATCTATGGGGCTGCAGTTTTATACTTTATTTTATAAGTCTAGATAATAAACCTAATATGGAATTTCTAAAATAAAAATTGTTTTATCTCTCCTCAAAATTTACAGTTAATTTGTACTGTCTATGGAAGATTAGGTTTCATAACCTCCATACCAAACCCTAGTTAAACAACAGTTTCAAAATGTATAGGGGCAATCTTGATACGTAATCTAATATCATATTTTTCTTAATAGATAAACAAATTGTTTTTTATTTAAAATTTTATGAAGGACGGATAGTAACATATTTACGAAAAATTAATTAGAACTAGAACCCCATCCACCAATTGACAACAAATCGTGGCAAAAATAAAAAATACGAACAATTTTTTTATTAAAACAAATAAATAATGTAATTTTAACGTCTAAATATGCATACATTATTAAAAAAAAAAATTACAACGAAATATTATTTGTTTTAAAAGTTATAAGAGTTATTAGTTAAGTCTGAGATACCTTGTATCTATTTATTATCTATGTATTACAGCAAAGTTACTAGGAACGCTTCTGTAGGAAGAATCTTCCACAGAAATCTCGTTTACAAACTCAGTCAAAATGAGGAAGCCATACACATAACAAAACGGTTATGAACATGTTTTGCGCAGAACAACTTTTTTTGATATGTTTTAATCCAGAGTTCAAACATTTTTTTTCAAATTATTGATGTAAAAACTGTTGGTGGTCTAAAGTTATCATCTTTCCTTTTACATCATGTAAATATTTTATAATCATTACTAAATTTTGGTTTTTTTAATGCTCAATAAAAAACTTTAGAGTTGCATTATCAAAATTATAAAAACGCTAGATCACACATAAATTTCTTCTTTATAATTAGGTAAAAAAATCGAAGACTGTGATGTAATTACTTGATAAATATTATCCAGCACAAAACAACAGTTTTTATACAAAAATTTCATATCGATAGCCCCAACGATGAGTATAGTAACTCACTTTTAAATCTTATGTTGAACATTCTTATGTTCAACAAAAAAATTATTAGAAAATAAAAGTAGACTGATTTTAACAATTTATTTGCTCGTATGACGTTCTTTTAAATACCATCTCTTATTCACTAATAATTTTATGATAACGGTTAATAACAAGATAGTTTTATAAATTCACATTGTTTTATAATTAATAATATAATACACGACTATTCTTTTAGTGTTTCTTCTTCCTAAAAGTGTTTCCTCCTCGCCTTAATCCCAACTACTTGGGGTTAGCCACCCTTATTCTAAACTTTCACTTGACACGATCTCTCACATCTTCAACGCTCACATCCGCTGTCGTCATATCGCATTCAATAACTTCCCTCCATTTCTTTTTTGGTCTTCCTCTACCTCTTCTTCCTTCAACATTCATTTATATAACTGTTCTTACAGCTTCCGATTCATCTCTCCAATCACGTCCTTACCTATTGTTACTGGTCTCCTTATTTCACCTACCTCGTGTTACCCTTCTGTTACTCCTACGCTTTTTACCCTGGTACAAGTGGCATCATACATATCTTCTATTATATTAAGGAACTTTTTAGGGACTCCTTTTATAATTAATGACCACTTTAAAACCTCTCTCGGTATTCTATCACACGCTTTCTCCAAATCTATAAATACCATACACAGCTTTTTCTTCTTTTCCTTAAACTTTTCTATTAGTTGCCTCACACAAAATACTGGCTCCATTGTTGACTTATAAGGCATAGATCCAAAATGGTTTTTAGATACCGATATCTCATTTCTTATTCTCTTATCATCTATTATCTTTTCCCAAATTTTCATAATATAACTCATAAGCATTATGCCTCTATAATTTCTACACTCCTGTCACGTTTATTTTTAAATATCGGCACCACATTACACCCAGAGAAAAACCTCGATCTATATAATAAATTCATTGTTCAATTTGATAAATATATCATTACTATTGAATCTATGATATATTTATCAATATGATGATTTTTTTTCTTGTCTTGAACAATAATTATTCATAAGAATAATTATTTTGTTCGTATTAATAAAACATTATCATAAACCCTTGATAAAATTTCTTTATCGAAATTGATTGAGGTCTTTCTTTGGGTGTACTATTCCTCTATTCTTTTGGAATTTTCCCTTCTAATAAGATTTATTTAAAAGTTCCTTCAAACACCTTATACCAACACCGCCTAATATTTCCATACTTTTACTGATACTTCAGTAAAAGTATGTTCAGTTCTACTGCTTTATTCTTTTTCATTGATGCCACAGCCTCCCATATCTCTTTCTCATGAATTAAATCTACCAGTCCCTCATTTCACGAGATAACCTCTAATGTCTCTTTTGGGTACTCCTCATTCAGTAATTTTTCAAAATACTCTTTCCACCTTTTTTTCACATCATCATCACTTGAGAGTACGTTATTATCAACATTTTTTATACACCCTTATGTAATGATAATTTTTAGACCTTTTCTCTTACTTTTGCAAGTCTATAGATTTCTTTCTCGCCTCCTTTGTTCCTAACCTATCATACCTCTTAAACTTCGCCTTACTTACTGCACACTTGGCTTCTTTGCACAAGCGTTTATACTCCATTCAATACACGACTATCCTTTTAGTGCATTTGAAATATATTTTTAAAGATTAATATATACACTATGATGAAACTCGGTAATTCGATTATCTGTCAACATAACTTACTTTTGACTGGTATATTTATAGTTGAAATTTTTAAAAGTAATAAAAAATTGAACCTTATTAGACAAAATATACTTCGCGCAAACAACCGATTTTAGGTAGTTAAGTGAGATAATCACTATTCAGTTAATTAAAAAAGATAATCAATTTAGTCTATGTATCAAAAATCCCGGTGGTTTATTTTATCGATTACCGGTATGCAGATTCCAAATATTGCCAGTCCTACCAAAGGTCACACCATTCCTAACCACCCCAAAAGGTTTTATCATTATTAAAATAGTTAATTTTGATTTCACATCTCCATTTAAAAACAATAAATTTAAAGTTACCTAAAATTTAAATTATAAAATATAATTATTCTAATTATTGAACATAATAGAAGTATGTCTCCTTATCTGAACCCGCATAATAATAAAAAGTCTTCATTTTAGTGTATATTTGCAGATTTTTTTTCTTTTAATTTTTTAGTGTATGAACTTATGAGCCCGGGTTATAATAAAATATAGTATAAATATATTGAGTTTCAATAGTTTTTTAGGAAAATTCGCAATTTTGTAAATCAAGTTTACAAAGTTACAACAAATTCAACTAAAAATAACTAAACGTTGTGAAATCGCGAGTGGAATTATATTCAGTATCAAATTTTAATAATTCATACATTTTCTTTTGCAAAAAAAATTACTGACAAAAATGAAAAGTAAACGTCATTAGTTTTCTAATGGCGATTTAATGCGTTAAAAAATATGTCATTCAAATATAAATCATATTATTAAAAATTAGAAGTAAAATTCATGAAAAAAGAAAATGACAAATATAAATTAAATCAAATCGTTTTAAAAATCAGTGTTGTTTGTAATTTAAAGAAATTGCTCAAGTGCAAATAAAAATTGCACCTGGACTAATAAAAGTTTAACCAGAATTGTTTATATTAGCTCGTTTTTCGACGGGAATAATTATAAAAACACCAAATACGTGTATTTTTAATAATGAGTAATAACTCTATAAATGTTTTTAATACATTGTTATCTTGTAGGCTTTTGCAGTTCTGCACATAGTTAATTTTATAACTAAGTAGAACTCATTTAATATTTACCATATGATGTTTTTTTATCGTTTCATATGGATATTTTTAAAAAGCAATGAACAAATAACGATTTCCTCACTAACCATTTAATATTTATAAAAAATCAATACATTACAGAATAATGTGATCTTTTTACATTTTAAAATTTTTAATAAAATTAATGACGATTATAAGATAGTTTAGATTTTTAAAGTTTAAACAGCGCGTACTTGGCAAATGACAAATTTATTTATATAATGTTGTTTTAGCAAGTTGTGTAAAATTAAATATACATCGTTTAATCCATACTCAGTAATTCAAATTAGTTAAATTTGTATTTAAAGATTTATTTTACAACACTCCTATTTAAAACCTGTATTTCGAGCTATTAATCTTATCTATTATATTACGTTGCACTGTTGATATAAGTAAATTGTCAACAATGAACAATACACGATGTATTTTAATTATCATGCCTTTAGACATAAGCAGATGAATTGAATTTCCTAAAATAAAATTACGTAGTTTAGAATCCTAATTTGAACGCTCTTAGATCTTATACAAACATAATTAGCATTTGTCAATTAGTTGTTGACTTTCTATGAAATCACCAATTAGTACATGGTTAGAAGAAGGCTTTTTGTTCATGTGTGTATTATCGTCACACTTAATAATTAGTAGCAATACTGAGAACGTCTTACCTATTGTTAATTTCAATTAGCTGTAATGTAATTTAAAATAAATTATTTGTGTAGCCAGTTTAATTTATAATCCATAATTGTTATTATTCAGCTTTTAAAATCAAATATAGAAAAATAATTATAAATTAAGCATCATCGCATAAAATAATGTGAATTATAATCAGATACAATCACAAAACACTATTTTTGCGTGTGTAAATGTAATTAAAATTTTAAAATATCAACATAACTGTAATTTATTGTTATGACATTAAAAAAGAAACAAATTGGATACTATTTATTAAAAATTATTTCTTATTGAAAAAAAATTGTTAAACAACATAAATGAAAGTAAAATTTACTATAAGTCTAAAATAAAAAAATAATAATTAAAAGTTTTTTTTTCTTAATTTGAATATCTAAATTTTAAACAATTACAACAAATATAAGTTTAAAGGTTATATTTAGGAGGTAGGATTTAGCTTGAAAATAAAATTATATATATTTATGTATAGAATTTACAGCTGAAATTATGAGGTACCTAATAAAATAAAAGCTAAAACAAATCTTTAAAAATTAAATTAAAGCTAAGTCATATTAATGAGGGTAGTTTCCAAGCTCATCCTTTCCCACATAATTTAATTAATTATATGATTCAATAAAATGTAGAAGTGGTACAATTTTTTTTCTAATATAAACCCCTCTCTAAATAATATAGTTAACATGAAGGACATAGATATACATAATTAAATGGTGAATTTAAAATAAAAAACTACCACCCCATTTTTTTTAATATAATTTTTTAATAATAAATAAACAATTTTCGTAATTTTTAATAACGGGAAATTTTACAATTTCAATCCCCAAACTCTCTGCTTTTTCAACACCCCTACTAGACATACTACAGAGTTAAATTTACATTGTTTCTAATTTATAAAGTCATATTCAAGTAACGGTTACATTATTAAATTCATTAAATATTTTTAATACGTAAAAGAATTTGAAAACTTCAATAATATAAAATAAATAAACGTATTGGAATTTAAAGTATAAGTATATATTATATACTTATTAAATCTGTAAAAACATATGTTAGATGCATCAACCTTTGGTAAAGAATTTTTTAAAAACTTGGTAACCAAAAATTGTTTTCAGGAACAAATAAAATTTCACGGTAAATAATTTTTCTAAAAGATTAAACCATTTTTCAATCGAATTTTCTTTTACAATAATATTATAAATCATATCGATTACCCTATTAATAGCTAAAATATGTCGAATTTTATTGCTTGATATACCCCGTATTCGTAAAGTATAGTGAATTTTTTTATGTTGAGTACTCAAGTACTTTCTCATAAATGAGACTCTGTGGGTGCTTTAAACTTATGGTTAGAAAAATGTACTTTCGGTGACCTTTTTTGATTCATAAAAATGAAAATCATGTCATGAAAAATCCATAAAATGTTGTAACGCAGAATAATTTTGTCGAACCAGCTTACTTTAAATAATAAAAAGCAAACCAACACTATGTGGAAACATTTTCCACAGCACTTTTCAAGGTCTTCCCAACCACATATCAACTTTACAGTCCAAAGATTTACAATGTTGATAGTTTCACAGGTAATATTTTAGAATTAATTACGTATAGAACATTTCTGAATAATACATAATACGTATAAACCTTAGATTACGATAAAAACATACCCACTGTACCACTAGATAATTTATATAAATTTAGTTATGCGAATGAGTAAATATACAAACATTTTTATAACTCTACTTACTTGCGTAATATTTTTTCTTCTGGAGATATGTTTTTAACATAAGTCCGTTTAACTGGTTTAGGGGGTGTTTCCATGTCGCTACTGCAATCACTGTTATTGCCACAACTTCCTTCACGCCGATGTTCCACGTAGCACATAGGGCTGAATATCAGCATTTGATTAGGCCGGATTATGTTAGGCGCCATGTTTACCATTGATGTTTTTTAGGCTCGATTTTAGTAGAATTAATAAAAAAAAATTTATAAATTTTGTACAAAGTAATTCTCAATTTTATTTAAAAATTATTTATTGAAATAAATATTATATATGTTTGTAATGAACGTGCAACACAGTAAAGAAAAAATTGAAGAAAAACTTTTATTGTAAGATTAACGTACAATTACATACTCTGCCTTGTCGGTGTATACTGAGTGCTCGATACGGGCGGGTAGCGGTGTTGTCGACATGGCACATAATTTGGGCATGACCGTTTGCACAAGACGGTATCGATATTTTATGCTCCTAAACTATCGATTGTTACTATAACTGTATTAACAGCGATGATGACATAAATTTGTATTTGTCTTTCTAGAGAAAAACATGTACAGTAATTACGGTACGAAATAATGTATCAAAACGAGATAATATGATTATCTTATGATGCATGATTTTTCTTTTTATATATAATGTAACAATTATTATTATTTTAAATTAACATTATATTTATTCAAATTTTTAAGTACTTTTAGTTAGAATAAATTATTAATTATTTTAAATAGTTCTAATATTCTTTTTATTATAGGCAAATTAAAAAAAAAATTATTTAGCAACTAATTTGATTTTTGAGATAGCTTACCTTCCCCTAAACATATTTTTATAGATTATATTTAATTTTCCTAACAAAATGTTCAAAGCCATAAACGTAGAATGGTCAATTTTTTTTGTAATACTCAATTTAATTTTTCCCCTTTCGAAGTATAATTGTTTTATAACAATACATATAATTTTACTATATGTCTAGGAAAGGCTTAATTGTACACTGAAGGCAACGTCTCCTAGCCCCTCTTACCCAGCCCTAATCCCCCCTGCCCTTTTATCGAGTTCCGCGTATGGTTATTACATTTTTATTATTCATTTTCATTTTTTCTGATTTATAAAGAGTCAAATTAAAAAAAAAGGCTTTTGTATTTGATGTCCAATAATCCTTTGATGCCCTTAGCTTAAATACGTCACTGGTTCAAAAATCTTTATCATTGGTTTCAATTTGAAATCATTAACTTTTAAGAAAGCAGACTCATTGTTATTAGCATGCAGTGCATTCATATTTGAAGTAGGCAATATATGTTTTGCCTAGGACCTCGCAAAATGGAATAAGATCTTGTTTATAAATCTAAATTTTATTAATACGAGTAATTTAAGTGAAAGTTAAAAAAATATATCAGACTTCTCACAGAATTTAATAAGTAAATTTTAATAATATACAGAGTATTTAATAAGTAAAGAAATATATCAATTGTTATAAATAATGAGAACAAAAAAAAAACCGTTTCCTTACTTACTGAACACTACAATAATAGAAAAACCATTTGCACAATTTGGAGGTCTCAGCCTCCTTAATTCTGTCTCAGCCCTCACTCCAAATAAAATGTATATGTAACTACATAATGAAATATAGTTAGAGAGAAGAGAAATTAGATTAGATTCCCCAAACATTTTGTTCCAATGGCGCTTATAATAAGACATACTATAATTAGAATACAGCATAGTAGCGATTCAGTTTTTTTATATTACATTTAAAATATATTTGAGATACCTTTAGTAACTTCTTATAAAAAATAAATATACAGTATCTAGCTAATATTTATTTCAAATAATTTGTTACATGATAAACTTGATTAAAAAAGTATGATAATAAAATACATGGGTTTTACATATAATGTTATTTGCATGACTTAAGTTATGCATTTAACCCAATCCAACCTGATTGAATTATAATAATATCACAATAATTATTACGGTAATAAAAGCAACTAAGTAAGGTTGGATAACTTAAAGTTCTAAAAAAAACTAAATATGCAGAATTTATACACATATATTCATTTATAAATATCTAAATGAAATGTTATAAAAAAAAAAATTAAAGATATGCTTAAAAAAATGTTAAAAACCATACAATTTGTCAAACATGTCTTATTAAGTAAAAAAAAGTACCCCAACATAAATAAATATTCAATAAAAAAATTACTTTTTGAATTTGTCTTTATATATAAAAAAAATGCTTATGATGTCCTCTTTTTTACTCAACATTGTACATCTGGAACTTGGTGCGACATTAAATTAGCCCTCGTAAACTCAAATTTCTAATTACACCTATGTTTATCTGCCTAGTACTCAAAGAAGAAAATAAATCGTATGATATTAAAAAAAAGATTATTATGATTTTCATTCTTGAATTTTAAATAATTTATTCCATTGGACATTTATTTTTGTTCATTACTTCATTTTAGAAATTAATATTACTATTAATAGGAGGAGGGTATGCTCCCTTGCCTCCCCGCCTATGCCACTGCGGTAGATTGTTCTTACTTTCAGTCAGAATTATACTTAAAGCTTTCATGCGAAGCTGAGAAGGTATTAGTTTAACTATGATGTGTTTATTTAATTTTTGAGTCTGTCCCCACTTTTTTAGTCCTTATTAGTCCAACTTTTTCAACGATACGTCATAAGATGGTGATCGATCTCGAAGATTATGATTTTGTTCCCTTAAATGGAAGATATTCTCAGAAAAATTATGTTTTACCTGACTTATAACAAACTTTATATTTTTAAATGGCAATAAATATTTAACTAGTTTATAAAATAGAAAATGATCTAATTATGATAATTACTGTCCGATAAAAATTTTTGGTCCAAGTACTTCAGAACTTTCATTTTTATAGGTATAAAAATTTGCGCGCCTATAAGCGGACAATAGATTGCAGCTGAGAAAAGTCTAATGATAAAAATCTCGATCACTATTATAATACATTGAAAACTTCACAATAAATTCATTGATAATTTTTAATTTGATGGATATTTGAGAAAATTTATAATGAAGAAATTAATTAATTGAGGTAGGTAATAACGATAAATTAAAATAAAAGATAAGTTCATAAACAAACTGGCATCGTCGTTTTAATAACTGTATAATTAAATAGACAGAGCGTTAAAAACGTTATTAACACTTATAAATACCACCTTGCCAGTTTTCTCGTAAACTTTAATCTATTAGTTGAATTTATTGCTCTTACTGCCTTGTTTCAGTATTCATTTTCTCAAAGCTCTAAACATTAAATTAAAAATAATTTTTGAATTTGTCGCCGTTTTTATTAGATTTATTCCATCTGCAAAAAACGGTTGTTTAAATTTGTCGCTCAAATGTTGTATAGTAAACTTAAAATGATTGCTATTAATAGACTTTTCAGATTGTCTTATTTTTCAATTTGTTATTTATCAATAATAGTATTGTAAATAGATTTAATTTATAAAATGTATGCTGTTCATCAAAATTTGGTACACATTTTTCAAGCACTACTTTTATCATATTATCATTTTTATTCTATTTAGAATAGAAATTCTTATCATGTTTGTATGACAGTTTAAAATTTCATTTTAAAACAGCATTTTAAATTTTATTTGAGACTGAATATATGTTGTAATTTATATTAATTAAATTGTAATCTACATATGTAGAATAATTATTAGCTCTTTCTTTGCTCTGTTTATAAATTGAGGGTGTAAAATTTCAATTTGTTTTAATATTACTTAGTCTACTCATTTATTTTCTAATGCTAGTTTAGAAAAATTGTTTGATAATTTTGTAATGAAAGAATATTTAAAAAATATTCTTAATAAATAAAATCATCAAAGTTTGTGTTATCATTTTATTACATATAAAAAAATAATTTTAAGGTAATTTTATTTTTAAAACAAAATGAACTTTCAACTTTTACTATTAATAAACCTAATTCTAACTTATCTAAAATATAATTAACTACTATACCCTAAAATTTTTATTTTTAGAAATTGAGAATATTTATCATAATTTCTTAAAAGTATTAACGTGTAATTTTAACTTAAAAAATACATACGTTATATTCTTTGACTTTTTATATAAACTTCTTAAACTCGAAGCAAAATTAAAAATGTTAACTAGTTTGTCTAAAAAGTATTACATTATAGTTATTACTAACTATGAATTTTTGCAAACATAACACTAATCACATTTTTGATCCACATATCAAATAATATATACTGATTTTTTTTGTAAAAATAGATTTTATTGTTTAGACCAAAACTGGTTTATATATTTTTCTATTTATTGTTTACAATTATGATATATGTGTTGTTATTTAAACAATTTTAGGTGTATTTAGAAAAAATATTATGTATGTTTTGTTTAGGTAAGTTTCTAAGACAAGGTACTAACATATTTAAAGTTACAAATTGCCTTGAAATTTCTGTTAAAGATTTGAAATATGTCTTAAGAAGTTTTGTTTGTCACTGAAAAAATACAAAATCGTTTTTAATCGAAATGATATCTAGAGAGCAGATTTATAGGCATTTATAAATTTTGTTTGAGCAATTTTAAAAGAATCTAAGTTTGTAAAAAATTGTTGTTAGAATATACAGTAATGTAGAAAAGTTTTTTGTTTTAAGTGGAATATACCTACTATATCCCCTAACATTATAATCTCAATTAGATCATAACAAAGTTTTTAAGTCTTTTAATACAAATTTGTGCTAGCTAAAGAGTGTTTAAAATATCTTAACAAAATTTATAAATGCTTAATTTAAAATATTACAATAAGCTTTGAATTATTTACAATAAATATAGAGCAATCGATAACTTGAACCTGCGTGCTCATTAAATATTTAGTTAAACATGGGAAATGGTCAATAAAATGACAATAAAGAAGAATTAGGTTAAACCAAATAACTTATTGATTTTTGAAGATAAATAATATGTAATATGTAGAAGTAAATGTATTAAAAAATTACGTATTTTGATACTTGTTTTATTCGAATACAGTTTTAAACACTGCAAGTTCATTTTTCATATTTTGATTTAAACATTAAAAAAAAATATAGTTTTTTTATAACAAATGATTTATTATATTGGTGTTCTCTTAGTTCAAGCAGTTTTTAACAACTAAAAATAGTTTTTCTACAACGTTTTAAGTTCTGTTTGAAACTGCTGTTTTTTTATTATATAGAGTGTTCAGTAAGTAAATAAAAAGACTTCTATTCTCATTTTCTGTAACAACTGACCTGTCCTTATTTACTGAACACTGTGTATATTAAAAAAAAAAAGACTCCTTATATATATCATGAAGATTAATTTTCTCGTATTATTTGAAAAAATATTTATGTGGAAATTAAAATGTCATCAATCATGTACACAATTAATGCAAATTAACAAAAATAAAATTATAAACAAATGTGTATAATTAATTTTGATAAGACGCAAAACATAAAGAGAAGATGATCTATAAATATAATTGTACACATTTATATGTAACAATATACGTAGTTACTACATTGTAGTATTTACTATTAACGGGTCTATTGTTACAAACAATAGAAACCCGTTTCCTTACTTAATGAACACTCTATATATATATATAATGGTTAAACTGTGTTAAATAATTTATCAAAAAAAATTATGTATTTTATCATTATTATAAAACATAATGTTAATTTTTATTCAACATATTTTTTATCGATCGCTAGCGATAAATGCCAACTTTCTTCACTGATAAATAAATTAGAAATTTTAATAATTAAATATATGTTCTGAAATTTAATTTTGTTAGTAAATAATATTGATAAAATTTATCTATTGTAATATAGATTTATGAAGTAAATCGAGTAATGATTATAACTCGGTTATGTAATAGTTATGATTATTATAATAATATTTTAGTGAACTATTACTACGAGCTATAATGAGGGGATACCATTCTAGTATATAAAGCTCGATTAAGAAAATGTCCACAACAACGTTAAATAGTTTAACAGACGACCAAAAACAATATTAAAGAAACAATCGATAATGTGCCCTTTTTCGATTGTTAAATTTTATCGAAAAACTATGTATCGGAAAGGAGAGGGGATGATGGCGATAGTAAACACTGGGCGTATATTACGGGACATTAAATATGACTAACAACGCCTGCAGACCGTAACATAACAAAAAGCGGATGTATATATCATGACTGTATAAATTCACTGTAGTATGAAACTGACGCAATATTCTCACAGATTTCACGAACGATGTTGTTTCGCCTACGCATTTAGAGTTTATAGAAAAATATATAAATTATAAAAAACTTAATCATAGGTATCAACTTAAAATGCCGAATTTTGTAAGCTCACATTAAAAGAGTATTTTAGTTACAATGCGAAGCTAAAAAAGGAATAATTTTACTATAAGTTTTATTTTTGTGTCAATTACCTGAAGTTCTCTGTTTCTATTAGACTTACTTTATTCAACGATATATCAAAACATTACGATATATCAGACATTACCCTTAATTTTTTAAAAATATTCTTCGTTTCCCTGTAAATGGTAATCTTCCAAAAATTTACGTTTTTTTTAATCGTAAAATTTCGATATTTATTCAACTTTATAAAATTTAAACTGCCATATCGTTTTGAACAGTAAAGAAATTGAAACGATTTATTTTATAGATATGAAATAGCATTAATTAGGCATATTTTTGTTGAAAATTGGTTCCTTTACCTACTCACTGAAAAGGATTCAAAATAGCAAATGTTTTATGATAAGTAACGTTTCAATATGTATCAGAAGTCCTGAACCTTTAAATAGATCTCAAAGGTCATGTTATATTTATTAACCAATATTTTTACAATTTAATGATTTTTCATATGCATATTAAAAAAAAAAGGAATATTTCCTCAGCATTTATTTTCAAACTTTTCGCACGATTGCATTAAAGCATTTCACGAGTGAAATTAATCACCCACCATGGCGTAATCCCGTTGTACTGAGTTTATTTCTAATCAATTATTTAACTGTAGATTTCCATAGTCTTTAAAAAAGGAATTCAAAATATTTGACACTTACATTCTTCCATTAATTACTATTTTTAAGTGTAATATTATGAATTGCTAATGAGATGTAAATTGTATCATATCTTATCTCTATATTTAAATTAACCAACTTAATTTAAATTAAACGTTCTAATTGGAAATAAATTGCTACAGTAATAACATTATGCAAGTTTTACTTGTTATCTGACTATGTAAATTGATCAAAAAAATAAAATGTTAAACGAAAACATTATTTTACTTCACAAGTTTAACATTTCCTAGTTTTGAGCAACGTAAAATTCTTAAATCAATATTTTGTGGTTTTTGAAAATGTGATATTGTTATTCTGAAAACACAAATCTTTAAATATCTAGGTAGGAAAAAAGTTTAAACTTTCAAATACTAACTATCAATAATTTTCGTCTTTGCCATTCAGAAATAGTACTTTTAAATAAATTTAAGCAAAAGAAAAAAAAATATAAAAAAATCTTTCTTTTTATTTAAACAATTTTTCACAAAAAAAAAAAAAATGGCAGTTTTAGTTAGATTTATAGTAAATATTTTTTTTTGTTTTAACTTATTATTAAATAACAATAAATAAAAAATTAATTATTTTTAAAATAATTTCTTTCTTTAAATAACAATATAAAAATGTGTACATATAACAATATTATATGTATGAATTGTTTACAAATAAATAATTAACAATATAACCTCATTGTTATCATAAGTTATAAGAGTTAAGAATTTAAAAAAAAGTTAGTATTACAAAAATAACCTATATAATTAATATGATAATCACGATCATTAAATTAGTGGTGCACTGGAAAAACTGTCTACATATTTATTATGTTTATTTAAATTTTTGACATACATGATTCAAAAAAATTTTATGTATGTATTGGTGAAACAAAGTAATCAAATGATATTTTAAAATCATGTATGATATAAATTTATTTATGACTTAGATAGTTTCTTCCAATCACCATTGACATTTACATATAATTGATTTAAATATATCATAATATTGTTACAAATTTACTCAATATTATAACATTGATTCATAGATTGCAATCTGTAAGTAGTTTACATTAAATAAAAAAAAATAGAGAATGTTAAATAAAGTTTAAGTTTTAATGAAAAAAATATTATTAAATAAAAGAGATCAATAAATTAATAAAATTTTTGGGTCCAATTAATTTTTTTATTTTAATTTATTTATACAAAATAAATTATTAGTAAAATTGTAAATAAATTAAAAAATGTGGCTAAGAATAAAACTATAATAGGAAATTTTCCTATTACAAAAAAAAAATAAACTATAGAACATTTTATTTTTAAAAATAATACCTTAAATAAATTAGATAACACCATGAGCTGCCAATTGATTAATACACTCATCTAGAAAACCATGAGGTAATCTAGTTTCAAAATCTGATTTATGTATGATACCATTCCATGCTACTACATATTCATTTCCAGTAGTCATTGAAAGTCTAACAGTAAATACTAACCTTTTTTCAAATGCTTTACTTAACAATGATAAAACTCGTCTGCCTTTTTCTGTATCTGGTAAATAACATATTCTTGGAAATCCAAGAGCATAATATGGTCTTCCAGGATGAGGGTGTTCTTCCCCTTGAATACCAGATGATATCCTAAAATCAATATACTTTTAAATTTTATTTTTAGGCATAAAAATCTTAATATTTTATGGGCTGAAAACGAAAATGACAATAACCATCCCAAGGTCCAAATATTGTATGCGTTAGATAAAAATTAAGCCCACAAAAATAGTTAACACTACAGTAGTTTTAATTTTTTATTTATATAACTTGATAAAAATATTCATTGTTTATTAATCCTTTATACTTTATTGAAAATTTAGGTTTCAATTAACATTGAGTCTCCCATAATAACTGTATTTGTAAAAGTCTACTTTCTACTTTTTATTAGTGTAACCTTAGCTATAATCTAAACTAAATTAATTTATATAAATGTTTACAATGACTAATATTATTTTAGAATGAATTTGAAAAGTTAGATGCTAGAGGACGAACACCACTGATGTTAGCTATTACATTGGGAGACATAATTGCTATTCAAATTTTAATAAACCAAGGTGCAAATGTAAATACAAAAAATGAAGAAGGATGGACAGGTAGTTTTAAAATTATATTTTAATAGAAATATGAATTAATACTTAACATGATTTTTTATTAATATTTATACAGTTTTACAAGAAGCAATTTTGTTCTTATATCTTTATTTGATTGAAAAGTGAGCGTTTGGCATATTACTACTGTAAATAACAGTATTAAATGTTAAACATACAACCAATATTAGTAATGTATAATGTAATACATATTGATGCTTTCTTCTCAAGTATCATATCACAACAAAGTATAACATATATGAAGGTGGGAATTTATGATATCTTACTTAAAATTGTACTAGAAAACAAAGCACTAGTAGTGTTTTAAAAAAACTGAAATAATTGATCAAATATGACTTACTCGTAAGTTATTTGGATAGTTCTAGTGCTACCATAACCAGGCAATGAACGATTTAAGTAAGTGTATTTCATAGTACCGGGTGGCTGATTTCCTCTTTTTTCTCCATATACTTTTAAGCAGATTGGACATTGAATATACATAAACTAATATCAAAAAAAGTATATATAATAACAAATAATAATTAATACATGTATAATGTGTAGTATTTATCAAATAATTTGACAAAAAATACCTGGTTAGAGTTAGGTTGATTATTTAAAACTGAATTAAGACATGCAAGGTGCATCCTGTGTTGGCACTGACTTAAAGCTACCACAAGAACTTTACTTGAGTTAGATGATGTGAGTGGATTTTGGCAATAAGGGCATAAAGAATCAAGTCCTGGCCAAAAATCATCCACAATTTGAACATAATGAGATAATTTTTCACTAACTGAATTTATTCCTTAAAATTTAAAAGTAAAAAAATAATAAAATAAAAAAGACATGAAAATCCATCAAAAAATATTATTTAAACTGACTTAAAATACTTATTAAATAAAAGATTTAAATAATATAATTTCAGTTATACAACTAAATTATGATTTTACAAAAAGCTAAATAACTGACAATGATTATGGTCATGTCCGTGTCAACCTATTTAGTAGACCAATTTTTCAACCAACAGATTTTAATTTTTCACATCATAATTTTGGAAAAAAAAAAGTCATTTACACCTAAATACTGTCCTTGTTCTTCAGTCAACTTTAAAATTTAGTTAATGGTCATGATCATAAATTTATTTTATATAATTAATTATTAGTCTGTACTATTGACATTATATACTTTTTAGATTTAAAACAAAAAATTGACATATAATAACTGAATTAAAAATTTTACAATATAAAACAATATTTTTAACGTATTTTGTCTATTGTTTTTTTTTTAAATATATTAAGCACTTAGTCGATAAATAGAAACCATGTATATTATTTTTACCCAAATGACGTTTAAGCAGCATAAAAATGTACAAAGGTTATGACTAAAAATTATTATTAGTACCTCCATACTTGGCCAGATAACTTTTTTAAAGCCTTATCTAATCTAAAAAATAAAATAATGAATCTAAATCATGGAATTTATATAGAAAAAATTGATTTTTCAAATATAAATATTTGGTAGTTTTCTAATTAGGAATGCTTAGAAATATACTACAAAAACAAAGAAGAATTTTACAACACAAAATGTCAGTATTTAAAATGTTTGGGCATCAACTTTGATTCACTTGTCTGAATAATATATTTTAATTAATAAATAAAACATGAAAATAATCTTTATATTTGATATAATGATTTAAAAAAGTATTCTACCCAAGTATGAGTATATACATTTTTTATAAATATCATGTTATTAGTGTGAACTAAAAATTAAAAACATTTTTATAACAATTAAAAGCTAAATTAGCTGAAAAAATCAATCTTTTCTAAATTTACCTTGAAAAATATATTTTTATGTATTTTTAACATTTGCAATAACTCTCTAAATACACTTTATGACTTACCAAAAACTGATTGATTCCTATTTTCACTGGACTTATGCTGATACTCAAACACATCATCACTTCCAATACTACCACCTGAATAATCTAAAAGATCACACTGAAACATAGAAATAATTATTTTGAATAGTTCATTATCAATAAAAATGATATTATTTTTAATTATTGATTATACCCGTGAGGTTCGATGTTCATGGCTATCATGACTTAAGTAAGTAGATACAGTATCTACACTAGGACGCCTACCGCTACGATTACTACTTATATCTAAGTCTATAATTGATGAATCTGATTTAATAGATGTATTACAACTTTTATTGATTGCGGATGCTAAAGGCCACTGAGTTTCCCGTGAGAGTGAAGATGGATTTTTGTTAGCTGAAACATGATATATGATTAAAAATTAATTACTAGAAAACCACTATTATTAATAAATAACTTGATAGAATATATATATTAAATATTATGGTATATCAATGTATGCTTCTTAAGGTATATTATCAGTTAGGCCTGACACACTCTGTATATAGGGTAATTCTATTAACACTAGTATCATATACACCAATATAAGTGTATTTATACGGTGTATATGGTATATATGTAAATCTTGGTTTAAGATTTTACCACACTACTAGCTACTCAATTTTTCAAAATACTACTATATTTAAGAGACGATAATGAAAAAATATCTTGTGTATATCCATTTCAAAAAAACCCCGAGAACACCCCTTTGGAATTTTTAAGTTTTATATATTATTTGATTTTCTTATAAATTATTTTTTTAATTCAACTCTTATGCCTTATAAGAGTATCAACTTTATGTTTTTAAATGGTAACATATAAATTTAATTAGCTTATAAAATAAAAAATGATCTAATTGATAACAGCTTTTAAACCAGTACTTCAAAAATAATCAACATTGTAATATTTTGGTAGGAGAAGAGAAATAATTTTCTTAACATAATTATTATTTAAAGAAAAATCAAATTATTAGTGTTAAAAGAATCACCTGGTATATATTAGGGGCATTTTCTGGGTTTTGTTCAAAAGGTATATGTACAAGAAATGTTTCATTAATCCCTTTATAATATAATAGTATTTTTATACTAAGACGGATGAGAAATTAAAGTTAATACAACTCTAAAGGAAAAGAATAGGTGATAAAAATAATTTTCTTCTAGTAAATTAATGTGTTGATCTATTTTTGACTAATAATATACTAATAAATTCTAAAAAAAAAGAAATTATTTTGTCTGACACTTTTTAAGATATACAATGAGACAAAGGTAGCGAATTACTTTGTATACATAAGACCATATGTTAAAAAGGTTAAAAAGAAGCCTAAATGTTTTTGAGAACATTATCTACATGAGTTGTATTTTTATTAATTTTTAAAACATACCAAAAATATTTAGTAGAGTTCGAGCTATATTTGTTCCACTATGGTAATTATCAGAAGTCATTTGCTTATTTTTTTTACATTGTAATTGTTTTTTGGTAAGTGTTTCTATACAGTCTGAATTAGATTTTCTAGCAGATTTTTCTAAAAGTGAAAGATTTCTAATAGTGTCAATGACTGCTCTATCTGAAAAATATCAAAATAAATAATAAGGGAAAAGATTCACTTCAAAATATAATAATACTGGATGTACCATTAAACTGAATCACTTCATCTGATTGTATTTTTACTAGTGGATAAGGTGCTTGATTGACTCGTCTAATATTTTTTTTATGACCACTATCATTTCTCACTTGGGTCATATTACAAAAGTCAATGGTATATGGAAAGCCTAAATATGTTTTACTGACATCAATTATTTGACAGCCCTAAATAATGAATGTTAAAAAAAAATATATTAGGAAGTTTCCATTAAACTGAAAGATTTAATTATCAAATAAAATATACTTAACCATAGCGTATGCTGTTTCTAAAAAACACTGAGATTCCATATCATAAGTATGCCATTCTCCGGAAATATCACCAGCCCATTCCCATCTAGCTCCTTTACCTGGTAGAGAACTAGCTGGATAATAAGATCTTCGAACCGCCAAAAACGCTCCTAAATAATTCTTTTGAAAAAAGAACTTTAAACTTTAAAACTATTTATATTAATTACCTTCATTTTCTTCAGAACACTGATACATTGTTCTCAGGTTAACAAATGATTCTAGTTTGGGATCAGCATCTCTAAGTATAACTCTAGTCAACTTTTTAAAATGAGCTCTTTCTAAAAGTTGTGCAACTTCAGGACTATGTGGTTTCCATCTTCCGTTGCGATTTTCCCATTCCCAGACTACTACAGCATGACCCAGAGCCATAATATTCATATAATACATAAAATGCTAAGTAAGTATGTGAATACGTCCATAATTAATTTTCTTACTACGGAAATTTTAAGCTCATAATTTGCTTTTATATAAAGATAGTTTAAATAAAATTTAATCAAAAAAATCAAGTAAAAAATAATAATAATAAATTCATAAATCTAATAGTTAATTATGTCTACATTTAATAAAACAAAGTGAAATGCAAAGTACAAAATACTAAGTTTTAGTATATTTGTTGTTTATTGAAGATGATAACAGTAGATAGATACAATTACATTAGGATACAGTGTAGCAAATTAGAGAGTTGGACTGATAACCTGTTTTATTATATATGGGGTCACTGGGTTATCGTAATAAGTGATTATTTATCTTATCTTATTGCAAATTTTGATTAGAAAAAGCCTAAGGAAGTTTGGGTTCACCTGAAGTATATTTTTTGTTTTCTGTTATATTTTTATTTAAGTTTGAATTTTACAAATAATTAGTTTTTTAAATAAAATTATTTTTATAAAAACTACGTCATTGATTATTTTTACTGTAATGAAAAACATATGCTAGTCAATTTTTGGTTTCTAAATTGCAAATAATAACATCAATTATGTCTGATGAAAGATCACAAAGTTCTCCTGATCGATGGGAGGTTCGAGCTAGAATTAATTATCCTTTGCATTATCTTATTTGGCTGCATGAGTATAAGATGCTAGAAGAAAGACTTAATTTGATTAAATTAGACGAAAATTCCGCCTTAGTAAGTTTTTAAATAGTAGTTTATTTTTGATGTTTGATAATATATTTAAAATATTTTTCACATAATTTTAAATAGTAATAATATGAAATACTACTAAGTATGTACTATTAAGTTTCTTAAGTGTTAATTATTTTAACCATATACATGTTATTTCTAGTTAAATTTTTATTATTTTTACAAAAATTGCATAAATTTAAGATTTATTTTGTTCATTAATTTTAAATGAATTTTGTTAAGCTCAATTTATAAAAAATATTTTTTGTTAAATTTTCTGAAAGGTTCAAATAATTTTGATGTTTATTAAACTATATTTCCATACAAATAATACAAAATTATTTAAGTAACAAGGATTCTTATTTTTTTTAAGATAAATAAATTAAAAATTTTTACTTATATAATTTATTATGGTTTTACTTTTTATTAAATAGTTTGTGCATAAATATTAATTCAATAATGTTAATCTTATTACTATTTTACATGGCTTCATAAAGCTCAAAATCAATAGTTATATCACTTTAAAAATTACAAAAATATTAGATACACTGTATATGTTGTTCTATGAAGGTTACAGAAAAAAAGATAATTGTACATTTCTTTAAATTTTTCAGGAGAACAAAAATAAAGTTATAAATTTCTATTATTTTAATGAAAAAAAAAATAGATACCTAATATTATAAAAATGAAAACAATTTTCAACAAATGGATTACATTACTTATTACTACTACTAATGGATTATCTAATCATACCATAATAATAAAATTAAAAACTAAAATGGACTGAACTGTTTCTTCCCTGTACCTTTTATAAATAACAAATTATTTTCAGTCTTGTTAAGATTATTTGAATTTAATCTAATTGAAAGAAATTACCTAATTTTAGTATTGGTTTGGGTATTTTTACTTTTTTTGTTGATTTTCTTTTTGTTTTGAATAATGTTGATACAAAATGAGTACTGTCATTACTATCATATTTAGATTAATTATGATTTCAAATGACTAAATCTGTAGATTTTGGTTGGTATTAACTACAAAAATTGTAAGAAGCAATTTAATGTTATTTGTTCAATAAAAAAAAATCTTTATATTTCCTTACAATTTTTCTAACATTACTTTTTTGTATATATTTATTCCATACATTCGGTGGATGAATTTGTTTATTAAATGCCAAGTTTTTTTGAAAAAGAACATTTGTGGCTACACAAATTGGAAATGTCGACTTTTTTCATTGGACTCAATGATCCCCTCTCTCTCACACAGCCATATCACTATAGGAAGGAGTTCATTAGGGGGACATGCCTCCTTAAAAATATGTGATTTTCAAAAAAGTAATTTTTTTTTAATATATTATATATAAGTGGGAAGGGGCATTCGTCTCCCTTTGAAAAATAGGTCCAGGAGAGGGAACAAAAAATTAATAAAAACTTTATTATGTGAAACATCTAACGTGAAGAGTTGATGTGCTATTAGTATGGTGACTGTTNGTCTCCCTTTGAAAAATAGGTCCAGGAGAGGGAACAAAAAATTAATAAAAACTTTATTATGTGAAACATCTAACGTGAAGAGTGATGTGCTATTAGTATGGTGACTGTCACCACATGTTGTAACTCTCTTCCCACTCGATTTTGCCATCCTCTCTATTTATCACTCAGCTGATTTTTTATACCTATAGCATATGCAGTGTTGTTTATTTTGGGATAAATTACCAATGATATATTTGAAATTAATAACTGTAACAATAAAAAGGAGTGACTGTGATTGTTTAGTATATAGTTTGTCTCTTTAAACAAAACTAAAATCACACAATTAAGCAGTTGCACTGACACATTTAATGATATATTATAGTATACTATATCACGAACAAAATTTTATTAAATCTTTTTAGCTAATTCAACTATTTTTAAATAATTTATATACGAATTGTGTTCAGAAAATAATGGGAATTTTCGTTTTTTGAAAAAAATATTTATTTATGTGTTTACATTAATGTTGTCGCTTTCAAAAAGTCCCCATTAGATATTATACACTTGTGCTAATGCTTCTTCCAATCCTCTAAACACTTCTCAAACTTGAACTTTGGGATATCGTTCTTGTATGCGCTTTTAATGTTATCTAGTCTTGTAAAACAACGGCCCTTTAAGATTTTTTTTATTTTTCGAAACAAAAAAAGTCACACGGAGCCATGTCTGGCGAATATGAAAGCTGAAGCATTGTCACAGTATTGTTTTTGACCAAATATTTACAAACATGCAATGAAGTGTGAGCAGGTGCTTATTGTTGTGCAAAAGCCATAATTTCATTTGTCACAAATCCTGGTGTTTTATTTTTTTTTGCTTAACGAAAATGCATTTGAACTTGTAGGTAATACTCCTTTTTGACTGTTTGACCTCGTGGCAAGAATTCATGATGTACAATGCCATTAAAATCGAAGAATACAGTGAGCATAACCTTTACTTTTGATCACACTTGTCGAGCATTTTTCGGTCTTGGCGATCCAAAATTCCTCCAGTGGGACAATGGAGCTTTAGTTTCAAGGTCGTATCCATAAACCCATGTTTCGTCACCTCTTATAACACGTTTCAGTAATTCTGCATCGTCGTTGACTTCATTAAGTGACTACTGAAAAACTTCCATTCTCCGCTGTTTTTGTTCAAATTCAACAATTTTAGAACAAATTTTGCTGCTACACGTTTCATACCTTAAACGTTCGAAAAAATTTCATGGCGCAAGCTAATCGACATTCTAACTTGTTTAGCGACTTCGCTGATTTTGAGTTAGCGATCGCTCATAACTATTTTTCTCGCTTTTCCTACGTTTTCTTCGGTTTTTGATGTGGTGAGGCATCCGGAGCGTTCGTCACCTTCAATGTCTTCACGGCCAACTTGGAAACGTTTATATCACTCGTAAACCCTTGTTTTACTCATAGCAGACTCATCATAACATTTGTTAACATTTCACTTTTTTTATTTTATTTTTAACGCTAAATTTGATACAAATCCTTTGAACTATTTTTTTTAACAAACAAAAATTGCCAAGCTCATAAAAGCACGTCTAACTTTAGCGACTGCCCCTGACAAATTAAAAAATAATAAATTCAGCTGAAAATTTTATCATACTTCAGGGATATGTGCACCGATATTATGAAAAAAATTTTGGTAATTGGAAAAGTTTGACTCTCCAAAACCGCGAAATTTAAAAATTCCCGTTATTTTCTAACACATTTCGTATTTGTAAAAGTCTACTTTTTACTTTTTATTAGTGTAACCTTACCTGTAATCTAAACTAAAGTAATATATGTACATTTTTACACTGACTAATATTATTTTAGAATGAACTTGAAAAGTTAGATCCTAGAGGACGAACACCACTGATGTTAGCTATTACATTGGGAGACATAATTGCTATTCAAATTTTAATAAACCAAGGTGCAAATGTAAATACAAAAAATGAAGAAGGATGGACAGGTAGTTTTAAAATTATATTTTATTAGAAATATGAATTAATACTTAACATGATTTCTAAATAATTTTATACAGCTTTACAAGAAGCAATTGCTACAGGTGATTCCGATATTGTTCAACTCGTTATGGAACATAGAGATTACCAACGTCATTCAAGTAGGGCTTCAGGTATCTCTAAATTATTAAAGCTACTAGAAGAATCACCAGATTTTTATGTTGAAATGAAATGGGAATTTATTAGTTGGGGTAAGATTTAAAATAATATCAAAGAAAATTAAAAGATATAAATAACTTTTCGTTTTATGAAATAATATTAATTAATTTTAGTTCCATTGGTATCAAGGATGTGTCCAAGTGATACTTATAAAATTTTTAAACAAGGATCAAAAGTTAGAATTGATACAACATTGTTGGGAATTGATCAGGGTAACTGGGAACGTGGAAATTTAAGTTATATTTTTTTAGGTCAAAGTAAGTAATATTTTTATAAAAATTAATTGCACGAGCGAAATATTTCTTATTATAAATTTTAGCTAATATGTTTATCAAATCAGAAAGATCATTTATGTTTCAACTAAATAAAGGTTAATATATTTTCTTTAGTATAGAAGTATTTTATGTTGAATTAGAACAAAATAAATTAAATATTTTTATAAAAAGATTAATGATTGCACAGTAGAATAATAAAAATATTCATAATTAGCTAACTCTTTATATTTTACTGAAAACATGAGATGAAAAACATTTGTTAATTATATAAAAATAGTAAAATTTTATTTTCTCTGTATATCCAAAGATAATTAGTTGATTGTCCAGGTGTAATTGATATTTGATTTACCATTCCGATCTAATATATATGAAAACAAGTCTTTCAAATCTACATATAGATTACATAGGGTAATTGATTAAAGATGACACACTCATTTTCATCAAAACTATTAAAAATTGTTTAACATAAAAAAATTCTACAATTATATATAGAAAAATTATTTTATGTGTCCCTTCCGAATTAAAAAAACTTTTAATTTACTTTTCTTAAATGGAACTCCTATTTTTAGTTTTATGATATGATAGACAAATCAATTACAATTAATTTTGTTCTTATAATATGTTTATTTGGTAATCATTATTCTGTTATTGCTTATTAAAGTTTGCCATTTTTGACCAATTTTCTGTTGATAATTGGATGTTTATTATACAGTTATTTTTTCATTTTATCACATAAACAAGTTTTTATTGAGAATTCTTGTTATCATAACTAAAACGGACGATAGCAAGAATAATTACAAAAAATAACTTATGGTCACTGAAACATATTTGTTGTCTCTGGTATTATAAAAATCAAATTAATGTAGAATTTCTATTCTAAAACCAAATAAGTACAGTTTAAAAAAGATAAAAGCGCAACATTTAATCAAATAAAATTCTATATTTATTTTGTAGAACTAGTTATTATTAATCCATTTATAATTTATAGATTCTATGTACTACTTACTACCAAACTTCAGGTTATACCCAAATGATAGCAATCTTATTTTATAATCTTGATCATAAACTAATAAATAAAGATTTATCGATGAATTTATTGGTTTTTGTTGTGACAATATTATTAAGACAAATATTTATATATAAACATACTATTAGATATTAAATTTATTAATGATTATACACATAATTTCAATATATTAATATTTAGTGGAACCTCTATTAGCACGAACAGGGCCAAATATTCAAATTGAGTTGTGTTATAAAGCTTTTTTATAACATCTTGGGAAATAAGTGCGTGCCCAAGCATCTTAAATTGATTGTTTCAACTGACTAACTGAAGACTATTGATTGGCATCTTTATAAACTTCTTTGGCGAGTAGTTCCCAAACATTTTCAATATTATTTACATTTGGAAATCTAGCAGGCCAATCTAATATTGCTGCAGAATTTCTTTTTAATCAAAATTTTATAATTCGAGCAGTATGGGTTAGCGTATTATCTTGCTGAAATATAAAATTTCTACCTTCTATTTGCCGAAAACAACTTATGGGTGTTAACGAGATCTTTATAATTCACAGCATTTATTTGGCCATCTAAAAAAACAACTTTACTTCGTCCTTCATAACCAATTGCACACCAAATCATTACAGATCCTCCTCATATTTGACGTCTTGACATTATACGTTCATCTTTTCTTAAATCGTGATAGTAATATAAAAATCCTGATAGACCTGATCAGGTCTATCTAAATAAAATTTTTTTTCATCTGAAAAAATGACTTTTTTCCATATTTTTGACCAATTTATTTTGTTTCTTGCAAATACGCAACGAAACTGACTGCCTTTATAATTTTGTCACAAAAAAACCTAAGATATTATCGATAAATCTTTATTTATTAGTTTATGATCAAGAAAATAATATAAGATAGCTATCATTTGGGTATAACCTGAAGTTTGGTAGTACATAGAATCTATAGATTATATTTGTATTTATAATAATTAGTTCTACGAAATAAATATAGAATTTTATTTGATTAAATGTAGTGCCTTTATCTTTTTGTCGCTAACTGAACTCATTTTTTTCTATCATATTAGAAAGCAAAGAGTAGGAGTTTTCATTAAAGTTAAGGTTTTTTATCCTTGATGTGATGACAAAATAAATTATTTTACAATATATTACAACATTTTTTGAAATAAATCATATTTTCCTTTAAATAATTTAAATTTAAAATAATTAATAGTTTTGATAAAATAAGTGTTTTATTTCTTATTGATTACTCTGTATATATTTTATGTAACTTTGACTGACATTACTATTTTTAGTATTAAATACTATATCATACATTGTAGGATAATTGTAATTAACTTAGAACATATATGTTTTATTTAATTTATATACTTAGTTAGATGACTAATAGATCTGTATTTTATTATATTTAAATTTTAACCTTCATTTTTAATTTATCTCTACAGACCAATCAGCAACTTTTCTTGAAGTGGATCATGAATCACACAGGGTATATGTTGAGGAAATCCAAATGTTTCCTTTAGAACAGGGACTTGAAGTAATGCGACCATCTGATGATACTGTGTCTAGTCGTTTATCTACCCCAATTGTTAGTTTTGATATAGATACAAAAAAAATAAGTTTTGAAAGGTACTCTATTTTAAATTAATTTTTGAATAATTGAAATGAGTTTTTATTGTTTTAAAGAAATAAAAGTGGTATTTGGGGTTGGAGACAAGATAAAGTAGAAGTAATTAATGGTTATAATTGTAAAGTTTTTAATGCAAGTAATGTGGAGTTTGTTACCAAATCAAGAACTGAACACATGGCTGAAGTTGATAAAATTAAGCTAAGTAATAGTAAAAATCCTATACAATCAATTTTAGGTACTAGCGAAGAAAAATGTGTAAGTCTATCACATATTTTATCTAAAAACAATAAATAATTGTAATTTTTAATTGAAGCCAGATAAATCAGAATTTCAAGTCACTATGGATGAATATTTCAATGAATTCCTTGATATTAAAGGAAAATATTTACGTAGACCAATAGAGCAAACTACTAAAGTCACAAAAATAAAGGTTGTATCAAAAATCATATGAACATTATTGGTTGTTATTCTAAAATTACTCTTTTTAGGCTAATTTATGGCTGTGTGAAGATTATCCTCTTAGTTTAAAAGAACAAATAATGCCTATTGTTGATTTGATGGCCATAACTAGTTCACATTTTGCAAAGTTAAAAGATTTTATAGAAATGCAACTTCCATCAGGCTTTCCTGTAAAAATTGGTAATAAAAAAATTTTATATTTTTAAATATGCATAAATTTACCCATAATTTTTTTTAAGAAATACCTTTATATCATATTTCCAATGCTCAAATTACATTTGGTAATTTGTATGCTGCTGATAAAAGTGTTGAAGGTATACAGATATTAGACTCTGATGGCAAAATGTTTTGTGTGGTTGAAGATTCAGTTTTTGTTCCTCCTAGGAATTACACTGTCTTGGGTAAAATATTTCAGTATTACTTTTCATTGATAGTTAAATATAATATATTAATTTATAGTATGAAAACAACATTAGTTTACTTTTGACATTATATTAATTTGTGTGTAATGATAGTTATTCAAATTTTAACTATATAAAAGGGGATTTTATATAAAATTATAGTGAATTTTATTTTAAGAAATTGTTATACATTTTTTTGTATTCTCATAAACTTATACTATTGAAATTTTTATATACATCAAAATATAGTTAAATATTAAACAAATAATATAAAATAGAAATAAAAAAATAAATAAGACATTACATATAAATAAATAAATAAATTCTTGTTAATTGGAATTGCTAGTTGTTTCACTGAACTATCATAAATAGACTAAATTTACTAATTACAGGTCCCAGTTCAAAAAGTACCAGGACTTACAAATAAAAACACATTTTTTTCGCAAAATTTTACATAATTCATCGACATAGTTTCCTTTTAGAGTGATACATTCATTCTAGCGACATTCTAACATTTCTATGCCTTTCGAATAGAACAATTTATCTTGGCCCTTAAAATACACCTCAGTTTCAGATGATTTCTTCATTCGAGCTGAATCTTTTTCCCTGGAGGATCCACTTGAGACTCGCGAAGAAGTAGTAATTGCTGGGGTCAAATCTGAACTACATGGTGGGTGTGGCAGCAATTCAAAGCCTAAATAATAATAATTTAATATAATTCCATGCACACATTATAAATTACATAGGCAATAATCTAGCCTGCTGATTATTGCGATTTTGGCCACTTCGGAGACCTTATACTAGTCCACTCAACTGCCTGTTGTTTTGATTTGAAAGTGTTGTGAAAGAATAAAGTTTCATCCATTGTCACATATCAACGCAAAAATTCCTTCTTATTCTTGTTAAATAGCTCTACACAGCTCTGTAAATCATTGACACATTGTTGCTCTTGGTTCGTTGTTAGCAAACATGACATCCATTTTGAGCATAGCTTTCTCATACCCAAATGTTCATGTAAAATATGATGCACACTTTACAATGTCAGATATTTCACGCACTTTCACTTTACGATTTTCCAACATGATTTTGTCGATTTTTTTTATGGTCTAACTTTCAACACTTATAACTTTTAATACTATTATAATATTTTTAAAAGTTAGCATTACCTATTAAAGATCTATAGGTTATAACAATTTTAGGACAAGTACTTATTGAGTTACAAGCTTATTAATACATAGAGTTGGTATGGAATACGGGCGAGTCTACAAACATCATTATAAACTATACCTACTCGTTTTGATTACCTACTCTAAGTATCAAAATGTTTGCAACTCAATGGTACATCAAAATTTTTTCAAAAATGAAAAATATATTCATATTGGTCATAATTAATATATGCTTTTTTCACAATCTAAGATGACAATAATTTAAAAAAACCCATTTAATTAATAATTTTTAAAAAACTTTTTCATTTAAATGTGAGATACACTGTATATTTTTTGTCAATAAAATGTTGATAGACTCATTGCAACAGACTATTTTATTTTTGATAGAAATTTGTTTTTGTATATGATTAAATTGAAAAAGACTGCTGTTAGTTGTTGTACAAACAGTCAATTATGTTTGATAATTTTCTTTAATGTTTTAACAATAAATAACTTATCTTACTACATTGAAACAAAATTTGTTTTTTTTCTAAAAACTTAAAAAACAGGAGTGAGCCCTTCAAATATTTTATTTTGTCTATTTTTTTAAATTTCTTTTGTACAACTTTTGATAAGATTACTTATTTTTGAATTATAGACATTTTTGTAAATTTTTTTTACAGATACTGTATATTTTTATCACACTAGTTATGTGCATTTTAATATTATAACTAACTATATTTATTACAAATGAAAAAATTAAATATAAATGTTTGAAGTTCATTAGTTAATTAGTTGAGTTCTTTAAGAAGTTTATAAATTCTATGTTTATAGAGTAATTAAAAGTAAACACATAAAAATTATATTTTATTTTTACATGTATGTATAACTTTTTAGATACATCTAAAAATATATGTGTATGTTAATTCATTATTTATTAAAAATTATAAAAAATTATTTTTTATTCAGGCACAGAACAAAGGCGCCAAATAAATGTTGATAATGATGAAGAATTACTTCAATTTGCAGTGAAACAAAGTTTATTAGAATCTGGTACTGAAGAAGAACAGGTAGTTATAAAATTTTTTAACATTATTTGTATTAATATCAGTCACATAGAATATTGTAACCTTGTAAATATTAAATTTTCAGTAGACTAATTAGATTAATTTAGACAATTTAAAATTGTCATACATATGATTTTATAGCACTAAAATTTTTGTATTGTTTATTAGGTAGACATTTGGGAAGCATTACAAGTTCAAAGACCAAATACACCTAATGATCTCTATTTAGATCCAGCTGAAGAAGAATTACAAAGGTAATTAACTTATTCATAGGTACCAATCTATTTTTTTTTGTTTTTTTATTAATACAGTAGAACCTCATTAATCTGGACCTTATTAGTCCGGACTTCGCTTAATCCGGACAGCTGTCTAATATTACGAAAAATACGCAGTTTATGCCGTACACTAAAATAAACATAAAGGCAAAAGTTCCTCGAATTTCCCATAAGTACATATATTCTTATATATATATATTCTTATCTACCGTCATTAAAGTTATCATAAACTATGTATTAGTAATTTATATTTTGGTCATTACTATATATATACATAATTCTATCTACATTAAATATGTAATGTTTTTGCTGGACCTAATATCATGTTGCAATATATATATATATTATATCATATATAGTATTTAGTATAATATAATATTCTTAAATCTATAATACGGACATGTTTTTTGGTTATTTTGTTTAATCCGGACTTTCATTAAATCAGAAAACCCAGAGCCCTTATTAGTCCGGATTAATGAGGTTCTACTGTATCTAAATAAGTCTTCATTTTTCAGAAGAGGGATTTAAATTTCTTGTAGACTATAGATTTTATCCATATAATCTGCAATGTCCAAACTAACTTATATTTTTGAATAAATTCACATTATTAACAAATTTATATTCACTGATTTAAATTAATTTTTTTCTTTGTAGTGAATTATTTAATATTATTTTCATTGATACATCTGCTTGGCTTTTAAATTTCTTTAGTTAATTAGTTAATCTCCTTGTAGAGCAATTCATGCAAGTTTGATTGACTACACATTTGTACCTGCATTGGAAAATTCTAACTTGTTGAGTGAATCATTATCTAATGATGTAGACACAGATCTTAATGCAGTACTACAAATATCAATGGAAGAAAAAAGGCAAGCTGAGTTACAAATGCGACAAGAAGAGGAAATATTAGAAAAAATATTGCAATTATCTTTAACTGAAAAATAAGATATCTTTTAATATGAATGCCTTCTTCATTTATTCTTCAATGTCCTTATAATTATTTTATTTTATTTCATTGAAGGTTAAAATAGTTGTATGGTAACAATTTCATAATAATTCCTATATTATCTTTATTTAATACAAGATAAGTGTTAATTTTATTTTTATACTAAAAATAGTTAGTATGTTATTTATTTTTATAACAGTTATAATTTTTGAGAATTTGAAAACGCAAATTCAGTACGTTATGATACCTCGCGACAAGAAATATGCTTAAAACATATTCAAATTAAAGTTATAGAATATACGTAAATGATAAAACTTTACACTTTTAATAACTTGACGATTTTAATAATTATTTATCAGTCAATACTATTTATTAATAATAATAATTTTATGAACTCTTAGTATTAGTTTGTGTTGATATTCAGAAATAGTTAGCTTTTGATTCTTATTTTTTTTATTAAATTGTTTGTACTATTCAGTGTAGTTAACTGTATAGTGAATCTTTTTTGAACATTTCAATTAATTGATAAACTTATATTTTTTGAAATAACTCAAATAAATAAATGATTTCTTGGACAAAGAGAATTAATGAAATACTTGTAGATAGTAGAGCATATATAATTAATAATTATTTTACTAATTTTATCACTTCAGTTATGTTTATACATAGAAATTTTGATTTTCTACACAAAAAAATGTAGTCATTTAAATTATTTTTTGTCATATATACAGATTTTGACAAATCTAACAACTTTTGATCTACTAGAATCTAGTAAAATATCTAGTAACTAGATATTGTATGTTACTTTTTTAAACATAATTTATGTTTTTTATATGCTTTCTTAGACCATGTTTAAATCATATTTTTATTATTTGTTTTTAATAATAAAAATATAGTTTAAAAAACTAAAAAAACACGCTTTTAAAGTACATCGAACTAAAAAGTTAAAAATAATTTTTAAAATAATTATGAACAAAAAATACTAGTATTATTGTGATAAAAGCGTGGGTGCTTTGTGCCATATTTTTCGTATATTGAGCGCCCGACGCTTTTATCACAATAATACTAGTATTTTTTGTTCATAATTATTTTAAAAATTATTTTTAACTTTTTAGTTCGATGTACTTTAAAAGCGTGTTTTTTTAGTTTTTTAAACTATATTTATTTTTTACTTTTTAGTTTCATGTTATGATAGTAGTTACTATCAATATCATGGTTGTTACGGGTAACGGGAAATCAGGGTTCGATTCTGGGGAGGGAGTCTGAGAAACGGCTACCACATCCAAGGAAAGCAGCAGGCGCGTAAATTACTCACTCCCGGAACGTGGAGGTAGTGACGAAAAATGACGATACGGAAATCATCCCTCGTAATCGGAATGAATACTTTATATCTCTTAATTAGAATAAATCGTGTTAATATATTAATTTTAATAGTAATTAGAATATATATATTTATACAAATAATGCGACTTAACTACGTAAAAGTATCATGCACTAAGTATAGCTGTGTTTTATGGCCGGGCGGGTCGGACTAACGTTATACCCGAGGTATAAACGGCGGTAGGAATATATATATATATACGTAAGGCGCATTAGACGCGGGCGTTATTGGTCAGTCAAAATAAAAATTTGTTTACATATATATAATATTGATGACAAGCACGCGTGTACGGGTACGATAACTAAAAATAAATTTTTATAGGAATAGTGTACCGTCGTATTGTGAGCGAGGCGTGGGGAGGGGTGAATGCGTATAACAGTCTAGTCTAGACAACGGAATATGCGATAACGCGTGGCGTTTGGAAAGTTACATACAACATACAACATACATGTGAAACTAATAAAAGCGTATTAAAAAAAAAAAGTGTTATATTTTAAATTTTTTTCTAAATTTCAAAATAGACATTTTGTTACAAAACAGTTTGATAGGTTGATAACAACTTAAGGTTAAGTATTTATTGAGTTTCAAGCATTTAAATATATAGAGTGGATGTGTAACGCAAATATTTTAGTAGATCAAAAGTTATATGATTTGTCAATACATTTTTGACTACTCTTTATTTATTAGTACCATAACGTTAAAACATAAATATTTTAAAAGTTCAGTTCCTTTATATCAAAATGACAAAAACAGTATTTAGATTGATTAACATTTTAAATAGTATTTACTGAATATGAAAGGAATGATTTAACTATTTTACTATGAATTTACTATTTTAAGTTTTTTTAATTATTTCTTGTAACTCTTTCTTATCTTTTAATCTTGTAAATTTCAAAAAACTAATATAAGTTATAAAATTGTTAAGTTTAATATATTATAATTTAATCATGGTTTTTATATCCTTAAAAATATTGCCTTTAAAAACATTACACAATAACTCATAATATATAATTTTTTATTAGTTTAGGTAAAAAATACAATAAGCAATTTATTTAATTATACTATAATAATTGTAAGAAATTTTAATTACTTTTTCTGTTTGAATTAAAAAAATAAAATTACCAAATTTATCTATTCTTGAGCTTATTGTGTATTTTAGGTACCAGCTTTAAACATAAATTTATATAGTAAAATTTGTAATATTTTGATAGTCATTAAATAATCTTACTAATTTTAAGTGTATTTGTGTTGAAATTATACATTATGTTTAGCTAGTCAAATAAATATGTCATTCATATTTTATTGTTGAAATAATATATATTAATATTATTTTATCATTTAAATGTGTTATATATTTAACTGCTTTATATATTTGTTGTTCTATATTAATCGTTTGATTATTTATTCATGATCTCAAGTAATTTTGATATTAAACATTTTTAGCTCATTTCAATATCGATATTGAGTATAGAATATTTCCTCTACAATAATAACTTAATAATTTTAATAATAATAATGATTTTAATAATGAATATTGATATTCAAATAAATATATTTTAGATCTATGCCTGATAAGTCAACAATGGAGTCAGTGTTTTGTGTGAGGCAACTAATAGAAAAGTTTAAGGAAAAGAAGAAAAAGCTGTGTATGGTATTTATAGATTTGGAGAAAGCGTGTGATAGAATACCGAGAGAGGTTTTAAAGTGGTCATTAATTATAAAAGGAGTCCCTAAAAAGTTCCTTAATATAATAGAAGATATGTATGATGCCACTTGTACCAGGGTAAAAAGCGTAGGAGTAACAGAAGGGTAACACGAGGTAGGTGAAATAAGGAGACCAGTAACAATAGGTAAGGACGTGATTGGAGAGGTGGAAAATTTTAAATATTTAGGATCAGTTGTGCAAAGAACGGTGGTATTTACGGATGTAAGACACATGGTTAAAGGGAGAGGTTTAAATGGAAAGAAGCGTCTGGTGTTTTATGCGATAAAAGAATTCCAATAAGGCTGAAAGGTAAATTCTACTAGACTGTAGTGAAGCCAGCCATGATGTATGGTTCAGAGTGTTGGACGGTTGATAAGAAAGTAAAGCAGAGATGAGAATGCTTAGATGGATGAGTAGAGTGACTAGAGAAGATAGGATAAGCAATTTTAAAATAGCTACTTTTTTTTATAAAACTCAACTTTTTCAACTTAATTTTTGAAAATGTTCCGGAAATACTATGTTTTTTAAACATGTATCGACGACTTATCTTCTATATTATAACTTTTCGAATAATGTATGTATCAAAACAAATTTTTTTTCCTAAATACATTATATACACCTCTTTTAATCAACATACTTTTTTTTAAATGGACAATTTCCCCTTATACATGGGCGTTCAAAACTTGAAACATACGTATAAAAAGTAGAACTTTGTCAACTTAATTTTTCAAAATGTTTCAAAAATACTGCATCTTTTTAACATTTGTTAAATTAAAGCTTGTACATATATATATATACACATATATACTATATGTTTAAAAAAAGATTATTAGGACGACCTATCTGCTATGTGCAAATGAGTTTCAAAATTGAACAAAAAATGTAATTTTTGTGTAAAAATCAATGTTATTTAGGTACTTGAACATGCCAAAATTTTTTTAAAAATTACTACTGTGCTAGGTTTTTAATTTTCAACTTTTTTACATTTGTTTTTATAAAAGAAGTTAATAATTAGTTAAATTATCTCATCTTTTAAAAGATAAATTTGTTTTTCATTAAATTTCTTCTTTTGGTATATAGGAAGAAATATATTTTATGAAGTATTACCACTTTTAAAATAATATTTTAAAACTAAGCATTTTTAAAATTAAACTTTACAGAAAGCAAAAAGATTATTGTGTATAAACAGGGGCGTATTCACATATTTTCAACTTATAGGCTGTTAAAAATTTGCCGCCCTTCATTACGTTATGGCGGAGGGGAATTATTTTTATATATTTTTGCCATAACGCTACTGTTTCTCCTTCAAAAAAAAAAAAAGATTTAAAAATATTTTTCAAGAAAATCTATATTTATTAATAAATCATAAAGTAAATTGCTTGAGACGAGAAAAGGAGTCCCGAAATGGTACATTAATATAATAGAAGATATGTAACAGGGTAAAAAGCGTAGGAGAAGTAACAGAAGGTTTTCGGGTAAAAATTGGAGTGCACCAAGGTTCTGCTCTTACTTATTTTCTATAGTGATAGATGAAATTACTAGAGAAATACAAGGAGAGGTGCCGTGGTGCATGTTGTTTGCTGACGATATAGTGTTAATAGGATAAAATAGGAAGGCTGAAAGGTAAATTCTACAAGACTGTAGTGAAGCCAGCCATGATGTATGGTTCAGAGTGTTGGACGGTTGATAAGAAAGTAAAGCAGAGAATGTAGTAGAGATGAGAATGCTTAGATGGTGAGTAGAGTGACTAGAGAAGATAGGATAAGGAACGAACATATTAGAGGTAGTATAGGTATACCGTCAATCGTAGATATGATGAGAGAAAATAAACTTAAATGATTTGATTATGTTATGAATAGAGATGAATCGGAAGCTGTAAGAACAGTTATAGAAATGAATGTTGAAGGAAGAAAAGGTAGAGGAAGATCAAAAAAGAAATGGAGGGAAGTTATTGACAGCGGATGTGAGCGTTGAGGATGTGGGAGATCGTGTCATGTAGAAGTTTAGAATATGGGTGGCCAACCCCAAGTAGTTGGGATTAAGACGAGGAAAAAAAAAAGATAGAACATTTTATCATTTTAATGTCAATTAATATATTAATCATAAATAGCATAGGTGCTAGTAAGAAATTAGCTTCCTAAGTAAATGAACTAGCTTTCTTAATTGATTAGTCAGGAAATGATAACAGGAAACCCTTATCCTGGTAGCATAATTTGGGAGAAATAAAATTTTATTGATAGCTGATGATATTTTTTTGTTTACTAAAGTTCAATTACAGTATTTAAGGAGTTGAATATTATCTTCGATTCAAAGCTGAGATGATATTATATTTACTACCAAGATGTGCTTTTTAGTATAAAAATACTCATCTCTCAAAAATTCTCAACTATCAGTGTACCGATTTTGCTAATTAATACATAGAAAGAAATCGTGTTTTATTTAGTTAACGAAAACTGTTACAAAATTGAAAAAAATCCTAAAATTTATTATTTAAAAAAATATTTCTAAATAAATATCTTTGACAGTTGTCAAAAATGGGAATACAAAAATGATTTTCTACATTTAAAATGGCAATAAGATTTTTAAAAATAGCCGAGTTCTATTAAGATTATAATAGGATATATTATAGACAATTATCTTTCTTTTAACATGTAATTTTTTGAAAATCTGAAAATTGTTTACATAACAATAGAAATTACTAAATATGAAATTTTATCTTAAGTTCTTAAATTTAAATATTTTTGGATTTTAAAGAAATTGTTTGAGTTGGTTATAAAGTATTTGTTTGTGTTTATTGTAAATTATATGCTCTAACGCATTCTTCCATTATTTCAATAATTTACTAAATTATGCATGATATTTTTTACTTATATTGAGGGCGGGCATAATATACATTATACAAATGAATAAATTGATTGTTTTTCTAGTTTCAAACATCCTTTTTTCAAGTATTATTCTGTTTTTTTAGTTTTTAATAACTTTACGACATAAAAAATGTTTAAATAAATCTTGAATTCTTTATATAAAATTTTAAGTATTATGAACTACGTTTCTAATTATATACATTTTATTTGGTGGATTACCGGCCTTCCAATAGTATTTACTGACAATGATAATATTATTAAAAGTAGAACATTCCTTAGATCGACAACTTATACTATGATCGTACATGCGGTTTTCTTCGTGATGTGTATTTTAAGTTTATTAGAATCTATAATTTATAATCTCTCTTCTAGAGGTAATAAAATGTTTGAAGTGAACTTGGTAATGATCGTCATAGTATCAGCTGTAACTATATGGAATAAGGTCGTATATTATAAAGAATTCCAGCAATTGTACTACCAACAAATCGACATCGTCAAAGAATTGACTGGAGAAATTTACCTACGACCGCCTCGAATTGCAAACGTTTTTTGTTGGATAACATATTTTATTGGAGTAGTATTGTGTGTATTCGATATGAGACGATTTTCAACCAACCATATTGCTTGGTATTTGCACGCCATGATAATTTGGGAAAGGTACATAATGGTTACCGCACATTTACAATTCGCAGTCATAGTGGTTAGGTTAACCGAATCCTATCGTATACTAAATAATTGTATGGTAATTTCAAACAACACAATGAGTATTGAATATCCTTTTGACGTTTTAAATGTTAAACCTTTAAATACAGTATTTACAATCAGTAAGTAAAGATTAATTAAATCATAGTGTGTATGTTTAATTTCAGAATAACCCTCTTCTTAATACAATTAAAAATTAAAAAATAAATGTGATGATTATTTTATATGAATCTTTTACGTCTAGATTTTAAAATTTAATTCGTCAAAATATATCAATTATTAGAATTCAGTAAAAGAATTCATTTTTTTTTTTTTGCAGAATCAGATACACCTGTAACTTTGTTATAAATATAATTTTATCCTCCTTCTTTAGCATTAATTAGAACCTTTGGTTTACATGATTAATTTTTTTTTTGAGGAGAGGACTCTATTTGTTTTTTAAAAAGTTACTATTCGATATTTCCCATAACTATTTATAACTGTTATTGATAGTTTTGAAATTAGTTTACAAAAAATACAACTAAGATTGTTTTAATATTAACTACTAAAAATTGAAGTTATTTTTACTATAAACAATTTGCAACGCCGAATTTTTATGAAAAATTAAATTTTTAAGTTTACTATTATTAATTCTATACACAAATTTTTAGTTTTAGATAGAACGCGATTATTGGCTTTAATAAAACATTGGTCAGATATTCATTGGTCGATTACACAAGTAGTGTTTAAAGTAAATGAGCTGTTCAAATTTCAATTGTTTTTATATTTCATTTACAATTTATTCGGATTAATCTTAACACCATACCTATTGTCGTTGACTTTATTAAGTGAAGACCAAGAATCCATAGGATTTCATGTAGCACAGCGAACAGTCGCACTAATTTATTTTTTAGTGAGAATGGTCCTGCTTATAATTCCTTGCTCTTTGATGAAAGACGAAGTATGAGTACAAATAATATATACATATTATATTAATCAGTGGTGTATTTAGGGGTACTAAAAGAGTGAAGCCCATTTCTATTGGTTGTGCTAAACTAAAATTTTAAATATAAAATCGCCTAAAAGGGTACTAAAATTTGTATGGAATTAGCTTCCGACCATTAAAAAATCCTAGGTACGCCATGGATAATAACTATTTTGTTTGAATAAAATCACATGAATATTATTCAGTGGTTAAAGTGAGTGTGGACGGAGGAGGATAAAGTCGCCTTTCTTATTTGAAGTACAATCCAGAGTTCTCTTTAAGTCGAATCCCAAAAAGCCCCTAATTACAATTCAAGCGTCCTCAAAAAGGGAGACATTTTAATTTTGAGCGCTGAAGAGTGGAAAGCGTCAATATAAGAAATTTATTCAAATGGTTAAAATTGTTAAAAAAAATAATAATTGTACACCCAAAGAAAAACCTCAATCAATTTTGATAGGGAAATTTTATCAAGGGTTTATGATAATGTTTTATTAATACGAATAAAATAATTATTCTTATGAATAATTATTGTTCAAGACAAGAAAAAAAATCATCATATTGATAAATATATCATAGATTCAATAGTAATGATATATTTATCAAATTGAACAATGAATTTATTATATAGATCGAGGTTTTTCTCTGGGTGTAGGTAGGTACTAATCTATTCCTTTCTGGAGATAACTTTTTTTACGAAAAATGTATATTTGCTTTTTATGATCAATATTATTTTTAGCCTTCGAGGGAATACAACTTTGTGTGGCTCGGGAATACTCCTCGTATTTTAGGAACTATAGTCCCTCCTCCTAGTTTTTCTCACTTTAACCACTTATATTATTGGTTTAGTATAAGAGATTATTGTTAAACTTTATTAATTGTTATTTTTAATTAACCAGTATTTTTAAACTTTAAAATTAACAATTAACATCTAAATTACATATAAAATTGTTTATTTTTTTAAATTGCTGAAATTATGTAACAGTAAGATCTAGAAAAAATTTCCTAAAAATAATTACCGATATATGTTCTCACTCTAAGCCAAAAATGTAACAAAGGATGTAAACTATTTAAAAATATTATAATTTTCATTTTTGATCAATTTTCAGGTAATTAAGACAAAAATTTTACTTAGTAATTTTCTCAATGTAGAAATGGATATGGCAGAAATTATAAAAGTAAGAACATTTTCTTAATATGATAAATTAAAAAATAAAGTGTCTGTACTTTAAATTTAATTATGATTAATTAACTCATCACTGTTTTTTTAAGTCCAATTTAATATAGTTTGTTATCATTAATTTCCCTCTTATATAGAAGAGAAAAAGATTAGATAAAAATCTTAAGTCTATGTAGGCAAAGCTTTCAAGTTAGGCTTTAATTTTTATCATATGTGTTTAGCAAAAAAATAACTAGGTATAAATAAATAATTTGATGGCATCTGTGTAATAAATCAAAAAATTTAAATAGAAATTACAAACTTAAATTTTTACATTAGTCATAATATACAAATATTATAAAATATACAAACTACATAAAATTTTACAAATACATAATTAAATAACGAGATTTTTTAGACAAAAAAAAATTATTTTTTAAAAAATTTTAGCTTTGGTGCGAGGCTGAGTTAATTTTACCATGATGTGTTTATTTTTATTTTGTGTCTGCCACTACTTATTCTTAGCTCTCACTGAACCGATTTTTCTCAACGATACGTCAAAAGATCACAAATCGTATCTAGTTGAAGATATTACCCTCAAAAATTAAAAAATTGCCCCCATTCACCGTAAATAATGAAAATTCTCCAAAAATTTACAATTTTTAAAATCGATAAACTTCGACATTTTTTAAACTCTTTTTTCCTAAAAATTGCCATAACTTATTGAAAAACGAACGAATCAAAATAATTTTTTTTATATGAAACCATAGATATTTCTCTTTCATATGATACACATTTTTTTGAAAATATTATCATTTATCTGCCAACAGGGGGGGGGGATTTAAAATAGCTACTTTTTTTTATAAAACTCAACTTTTTCAACTTAATTTTTGAAAATGTTCCGGAAATACTATGTTTTTTAAACATGTATCTACGACTTATCTTCTATATTATAACTTTTCGAATAATGTATGTATCAAAACAAATTTTTTTTCCTAAATACATTATATACACCTCTTTTAATCAACATACTTTTTTTTAAATGGACAATTTCCCCTTATACATGGGCGTTCAAAACTTGAAACATACGTATAAAAAGTAGAACTTTGTCAACTTAATTTTTCAAAATGTTTCAAAAATACTGCATCTTTTTAACATTTGTTAAATTAAAGCTTGTACATATATATATATACACATATATACTATATGTTTAAAAAAAGATTATTAGGACGACCTATCTGCTATGTGCAAATGAGTTTCAAAATTGAACAAAAAATGTAATTTTTGTGTAAAAATCAATGTTATTTAGGTACTTGAACATGCCAAAATTTTTTTAAAAATTACTACTGTGCTAGGTTTTTAATTTTCAACNCTATGCAACATCCCCACTATGCCGCGACCCCACTGTGCTGGCTTTTTTACATTTGTTTTTATAAAAGAAGTTAATAATTAGTTAAATTATCTCATCTTTTAAAAGATAAATTTGTTTTTCATTAAATTTCTTCTTTTGGTATATAGGAAGAAATATATTTTATGAAGTATTACCACTTTTAAAATAATATTTTAAAACTAAGCATTTTTAAAATTAAACTTTACAGAAAGCAAAAAGATTATTGTGTATAAACAGGGGCGTATTCACATATTTTCAACTTATAGGCTGTTAAAAATTTGCCGCCCTTCATTACGTTATGGCGGAGGGGAATTATTTTTATATATTTTTGCCATAACGCTACTGTTTCTCCTTCAAAAAAAAAAAAAGATTTAAAAATATTTTTCAAGAAAATCTATATTTATTAATAAATCATAAAGTAAATTGCTTGAGACGAGAAAAGGAGTCCCGAAATGGTACATTAATATAATAGAAGATATGTAACAGGGTAAAAAGCGTAGGAGAAGTAACAGAAGGTTTTCGGGTAAAAATTGGAGTGCACCAAGGTTCTGCTCTTACTTATTTTCTATAGTGATAGATGAAATTACTAGAGAAATACAAGGAGAGGTGCCGTGGTGCATGTTGTTTGCTGACGATATAGTGTTAATAGGATAAAATAGGAAGGCTGAAAGGTAAATTCTACAAGACTGTAGTGAAGCCAGCCATGATGTATGGTTCAGAGTGTTGGACGGTTGATAAGAAAGTAAAGCAGAGAATGTAGTAGAGATGAGAATGCTTAGATGGTGAGTAGAGTGACTAGAGAAGATAGGATAAGGAACGAACATATTAGAGGTAGTATAGGTATACCGTCAATCGTAGATATGATGAGAGAAAATAAACTTAAATGGTTTGGTTATGTTATGAAGAGAGATGAATAGGCAGCTGTAAGAAATGAGTGTTGAAGGAAGAAGAGATAGAACTTCTTTTTGGAAGACCAAGAAAAAAATGGAGGGAAATTATTGAATGCCTTATGAGGACAGCTGATGTGGGAGATCGTGTCACGTGGAAGTTTAGGATAAGTGTGGTCGACCCCAAGTAGTTGGAATTAAAGCGAGGAAGAAGAAGAAGAAGAAAAAGTAAATTACTTGTAACAATTAATATCATAAATACACAATAAATGAAAACGATTATAATAATTATTAAGAAGTTAATATGTCATAACAACAATAAAAAAAATAATTCGCTTTTTATGAATTTGTTGGCCTTCAATATTTGGCGCCCCTTAAAACATGCAGCTGTAGGCAGTTGCCAATATGGCCGGTATATAATAATGATGCTGTGCATCACGGTCGGCTATAGCGTTTGACCGTCACGGACAGATTCTATTATTTTATTAGGAATTCAGTCAAAATTCTTTTGTTCTGCGAACGTAAACATTTGTTAGACGGATTTTATTATTCAATTAGGTATACAGTTAAAATGTTATTATTCGATGAACTTATAAGTTCAATACATGTATATTTGATAAACATGTGTACTTGATAAACGTTTACGTTCCACGATTGTTTTGAATTTATAATAATATAAATAAATATTTTGAATTTTAAATTCATAATACTACATTTTTAATGTTAAGATATTTTTTATATTAATATATCATTTTTTAATATCAATAATTTATTATTAATACATATAAATTTATAATTTTAGCTTCGATGCGAAGCTGAGAAGGTATTAATTTTACCATGATGTGTTTATTATTTTTTTTATTTTTTATTTTTTTTTTTT